GATTTTGTCTGTAATAATAATGGCATAAAATTGAAATGTTTGTTTAGTTTTGTGTTGAACTTCTGAAATACCTTCAGCATCTTATTTTAACTATTAGCTGCTATTTAACGGAATTTATTGGGTAAGAATATCGTTAGAAGTAAAATTTAAAATAGTAGACTGAAATAAATATTCCCATCAGAAAGATCAATAATTAACAACAAATAACCCATTAGTGAATATAATTCACAAACTCACAACTGCAGGGTGGACAGCAGTAACACGTGATGAGCGAATACCCTTCCCACTTGAATCTACTGCACTGGAGATAAGGACTGATAGTCGGCTATACTATAGTTGGGATACAGTGAAGGTGTGGTTCAGGGATACCTCAAGTATCTCATCAGGAGTCAATATCTTCTTCTCATCTCCCCCCCCAGTACTGGCTCTAATACTGCAGCCGTTCCAGGACTGATTTCCCAGTTACTCTGCCCTCCACTACTATCAAGACATGGAGGATTACCCTGAGACGCAGTCTAGGTGTCAGAGTTATTATACACTGTAATAACGAGGAAGTACTTAACGTGCTGCTATCAGACACCTCGTGTGATGACATTAGGTGGAGCGAGTCCTGGAACAGAGAGACGGTGTATATCGGATTTAGTAGGACCGACACAGCCTCAGATTACTATAGAGAGGCTATAACAGGTTATTAACATCAATCATTTTATATTACAGTAACCAGTATACAGGATATATTGTACGTGGCCTGGTATAATAACTAAGTATACAGTATAGTAACTATAAATATACAGTATAGTAACTAGTGTACAGTATGGCAACAAGTGTAAAGTGTAGTAACTAGTGTACAGTGTAGTAACTAGTGTAAAGTATAGTAACTAGTGTACAGGTTAGTAACTAGTGTACAGTGTAGTAACTAGTGTACAGGTTAGTAACTAGTGTACAGTGTAGTAACTAGTGTACAGGTTAGTAACTAGTGTAAAGTATAGTAACTAGTGTACAGTGTAGTAACTAGTGTACAGTGTAGTAACTAGTGTAAAGTATAGTAACTAGTGTACAGGTTAGTAACTAGTGTACAGGTTAGTAACTAGTGTACAGTGTAGTAACTAGTGTAAAGTATAGTAACTAGTGTACAGTGTAGTAACTAGTGTACAGTGTAGTAACTAGTGTACAGGTTAGTAACTAGTGTACAGTGTAGTAACTAGTGTACAGTGTAGTAACTAGTGTACAGGTTAGTAACTAGTGTACAGTGTAGTAACTAGTGTACAGGTTAGTAACTAGTGTACAGTGTAGTAACTAGTGTAAAGTATAGTAACTAGTGTACAGGTTAGTAACAAGTGTACAGTGTAGTAACTAGTGTACAGTTTAGTAACTAGTGTACAGTGTAGTAACTAGTGTACAGTATAGTAACTAGTGTAAAGTATAATAACTAGTGTAAAGTATAGTAACTAGTGTACAGTATGGTAACTAGTATACAGTATGGTAACAAGTGTAAAGTATAGTAACTTGTGTAAAGTATAGTAACTAGTTTACAGTGTAGTAACTAGTGTACAGGTTAGTAACTAGTGTACAGTGTAGTAACTAGTGTACATTATAGTAACTAGTGTAAAGTATAATAACTAGTGTAAAGCATACAGTATAAAATGTGGATTCTAGGTGGGATTCACTATTTAATTTACTATTTAAATGACCACGTGTCAAAAATATACAAAAACAACGGAACAGCTGAAAATAACATCAAAAGGGAAGCTTAGAAGTTTAAACTTAACATGATAAACGTGCAATTAAATAGAAAATATGCTTCCGAGGGTTAAACCTTTTACACAGGAAAGAAGCATGGTTCGAAAAATTGTTGAAATATTAGGGTAATTTTTCATATGTATCTTAAAATGTAATAATTTATATACAATTAAAATTAAAAATCGATATGTTTGCCTCATCCGTTAGATTTGGAGAGTCATTCAAATTAGGATATGAGTCTTATTATAACACCCTGTTCTTCACCTCCCCAGTCCCGATCAGCATCCAAATCTATTGTAGTAGTACCTCCGAGTATATTATATGAAACTACCAACGAAGGGTAAGAACTCTTCCAGCAATCTTCCCTTAATAACACTAATAGTACTCTGATACAGAATGTGGTGCTGGACAGCGCCTTTATCGAACCACGGCCACGACCGGATATTGTGAAGACTGTCCAGCAGATCACTGGAGTGGTCCAGGAAACACAGCTGATTCCTGCACCGTCCTGTACAGCTGGAAAAGGAGTGGACGCTGGACAAGGAAAACAAGCTAGTGACTGCGTATGGAGTAAGTTTATTTTGTAATAAAACATAATACTACTTTAGGGGTTATCTTTAAAAATTAACCTACAATTGATTGGGCCGCACTTGCCTGTTATTCTGCCAAATCTTCAATCAATTATGTTTATGAACACAAGTAACCTACGATGTGTTTCTTCATTAAGCTTGAAGCATAATCACGTTCCTTTTTATACTTTGTTTACATTTGACTTTCATCACAGAACCATGTAATGCTGGACAGCGCCTTGATCATACCACACTGATCAAATTCAAGGCGCAATTTACACTTTCCAACGTTGGGTTTAAAACGTTGTTTACAAGTCAGTGATGCACACCGTCGCGTTTTGCCAAAATCGGCGGCGGCGAGGCTAAAACTTGCGGCAGCGTTCGACGGCGTCGCGGCCCTTGGCTCATAAATGCAGTCGTTGTCTCTGTACGGGATGGGCCTCAAAATACCGCTTCGGCTTCCAGTTTCAGTTTATGGCTGATTTATTTTAACATGAATGGTTAAGAAAATACCCAAGCATGCTAAAATGCACAATAACATGTAACATTGCATGTGCCACGTTTACGGGTCGTTAAACAGAATACCCTTGCGCTTATCCACCACTCGTTTGCAGCAAATCTTACAAATATACACGTGGCTGCATGCTGTCCACTTCAGCTCTACTCCATACCTATAGTATAGGGATCCAAAATAATGGAATACCGCACTTTTCCGGGACGCCCCACATATAAAAACGTGAAAACTTTGGCTTTCTTGACTCTTCTGATTACTCAATACTCATGGGGCTTAAAAAATGGATGATTAATACACAGTATTCAGGAAACTGTCCGAAACTCTCAAAACTAAACAATGTCAAAACTGACCGTATCTGCTGCCCAAATTCGACTAGAAAAAATCAATGCTGGCGAAAGTATGGCAGCTTACAGTTATAATAGTGATTATAATGACAAAATTCGTGCTTGCCAGCACTGTGATATATAGAATATACTTCACGACAATCTGTTGTGAAACAGGGGTTCCAGATAATCCTCTTCCCGCTACTCCTGAAACTTGAAACTTTTCATGCAGTCGATTTGGTCAACATCTAGACGCACTGCAAAATTCAAAGCTCTAACTGAAACTCAATTTTAACATGAAATTTAACATGAAATTTAACATGAAATTTAAGGCATATTGCGATTTTGAGTTTTTTTTACCAAATTTCGTATTTTGTGCAAATTTCTTAAAGTGGTAAAAAAGTGGTAATTGTAGATTTTGCTGACGTCAGAAATTTTGGGAACTCTCTGGAATGATTCCTGGGACCTGTCCCGACCATTTCCCGTTGAAATCGGTTTGTTGCGAATTTTGTCCGACAAAGGCTTAAATTAGGACGTATTTGACTGCACTGCACTATAAAAACCTCCACATAACTATTTTTTTATTCCCGTCATCTTTGACATTGAATTAGAATGTTTTGAACTAAAAATATGCCTGCTGAACGACTTCTGATGAGTCTTAATGCCTGGAAAAGCAGTAAAGGGGGTATAATAGTATAGGGGGTGAATAGTATAGTGAGTATAATGACGGCGGTCGTGCTTGCCAACACTGTGATATGTTTTAAATAATCCCCCTCCAGAGTCATAGTATGGTCTGCCCCCTAGAATCTAAAAGAAGTTTTCTCAACAACACCAACCAATAACGTTTCCCTCCGCAAATCACATCAATTAAATAGAATTAACCAACTCTATTACTTATTGCTCAAGCTATGTCCCATGTCACGTAGTCATGGGCAGAGTTTTCAGAGTCTGTTCGTACCGTTTATAGCTCCATCTCACTAAATATTCCGCTCCCTCTCAGAGGTATCCATCACGGTGGGACAAAACGGTTACTACACAGCAGGATCAGACGTACATCTGACTTGTACTGTGGTTTCTGGCGATGCTCCTCATCTCAACATACCTAATGTGTGCACCTGGACTAAGGGAGGAGAGGTCTTACCAAGCACCAGTCAATTTAGGTGTGTCAGTTACTTAGTGATAGCTTAATTGGGTTTAGAGGCATTCCAAGTATGTTAATAATAATTGGCTTTAGAATCATGAATTGGTATTCAGAAATGTCCCTGTACTATAAATTGATCTACAGCTCCATAACAGTACTCTGTGTCTCAGTGCCCACGCTACCGCTGCTAACACGAACCTGCAGTGTGTACACACACTATCTGAAGTGACGTCATCAGACTCAGATATCTACTCTCGTTGTGCTGATGCCTCCTTTTCTAAGCCTGCTACCTCAAATGTTACTCTAACTGTCCTAAGTAAGTTATCTTACATTCATAACGTATTTGGGAAACATCTGTTAGTAATGGAAGTTTTCAAAAGAGAAACAAAGTTAAAATATCTACATACTCATAATAAATCGAGTAAATAACAATAAATAAATGTAAATAATGTAAAATTAGATAAGCTATTGTGATGCATAATTTAAATACATTTTTTTAATTGTTTCTACCAAATTAGAACTCTTTATAATATTATGTTAAATAACACTCTATTTCAGCTCTTGAATACAACACGACACAGATGATAGAGGCTTTAGGAGCATATATTCAGCTTACATGCATAGCAAGCATGCCCTCCTCTCTGAGTGCCGCTCTTACCATCCAGTGGGAGAGAGATGGTACCCCTATAACCTCTGGTGAGGAAATGTTTAAAACTTACCTCGGTCTATGCTTTTATCAGTCCATTTATAGACCTACCATTATTATTGTGGATAAAAATAGATCTAATTTTGTACTCGTTCAGCTTCCTAATTTTTCCTTGCGTTCAAGAAATAAAACTACAGGTATCGTTTCTGATTCTAATGGAACTACACGTGAAAGTGTGTTGACGCTATCTTCCCTGATAAGCAGTGACTTTGCGAAGTACAAGTGTTTAGCTACATACGCCAACATTGGGACACTCACTTCCGCACAAAAAGATATGATCGTTACAGGTTAGTTGTATTTTCTTTCTGTAAACCTGGACTTAATTATTGCTATACTAAGCTATTACTAAAACCTTTATCGACATTGAATAAATTTGTCATACGTTGTATGACCCGTCGCGCACGAGTGCGCGGCTCCTCCTGTATCGTCGAAACTCTACTATAGTGAAGCGACCGTGGGGGTCACCACGTGATGTCGTGATACAAGAATAAATATCTAAAGAAACTCATATCTGAGAAACCAATTTAGTATTATTGAGTTGTTTCTGAAGGAAATTTTTTCCTTTTCCCCCCCTTTTGAAAAAAGGCAATAGTGAAAGGTTACGAATGGAGGTTTTTGCAGAAAAACGTGAATTTTGGAGATTGCAGTAGGTGGGTCAAATATATGTCGTGTTCCTTGCTTGCTTGCTTCCGTTCGTTACCAAGCAACGAAAAAGTTGCGCGCGCGCGAGGATTGTTTGCGGAGATGTGATGTATAGATAGCCTGTGATCTATGAATGCGCGGCGCGACTGTGTTTTATTGTATACGATGCATGTAATGTATAATATTACTATTACATATTAGGTAATACGCCCAATTTGTACGTGGCACGCGTAGTGTATTGATGTGTACACGAGTATAGTTTACCTTTGCTGATAATTTCTTGAATTACAGATACAAGTTAAGTTCTACGGCAATTGAACTGAATTTGTCCCTATTTGATGCATAATTTATCTATATTATTATCATGAAGATTGAAGTGAGCTGATTGGAGCTTATACTTAAATTTATAGTAAATGTGAAATGGAAATCTAGCGTCCGCCAAAACGAAACAACGGGCGCAATTCTTGTTATATCCTAAACATTATATACATATATGGGTTCTTTTGCGATAGTGTAAACGCGATAGCTAGCGCCATCCATCGCTAGTTGTCGCTGGCTACCGCCATTTAACACTTATAGTAGTCGCTGGCTAGCGCCATTTAACACTAGCCATGAGCGCAAACTATAAAGTATAAATTTGTGATAACTAGCGTTAGCTTATAGCGCTTAGTTAGCTTAGTTAGCTAGTAGTAGTTATCGCTAGCTAGCATGATAAACATTATAAGGTGGAAAATATTGTGTTATGGAAAATTTGCTTTCTCAATAAAATATTCGCCAAACGCTCATATATACTATATAGTCATACGCGCGTAGTAAAATATTCGCCTCCTTATGATTCATTTGCGCTTGGGTAAAATATTCGCCATGTTATGATTAATTTGCATAAAAATTTTGTCCGGCTCATGTTACCAAAAAATACGACATTTGTCCAACATAATTCTGATCTCAATATAATACGACACATTTCCAATTAGAGGATGATCTGAATAGTTAATTTCTACTTTGCATACATACATTTGACCAAAACCCATAATCATGGGTAGAGTGGACCGCTGCCAGTGTCTCTCATTCCCACACAAAAGTAAATGATATTAATTTGAATGGCCGTCTGCTTAAATGAAAAATGATACCGAGAATGAAATCAGTCGCTCGCTTTTCCCATTCACACACACACACTAGGTTGGTTCATAAAAACCGAAGTTGATCCAATCGCTCTGGGTCCAAGCTTATTAGTTGATGGCTTGGCTAAAAAACTGCCTTGAAAAATTTCGTGGCTCAACTCCATCGGAATCTAGACCCACGGACCACGCCCTTATTTTTCGAGGCCCTTATACAGGTAAAATTCTTAAAATTGCCTTTTTTGACCTTTAAACGTCTAGATAGGGCCCCGAAAGCAATTTAGACTAAGATAAACGTGATAAAAAGGTTAACTTTGGTCAAGGTCTCATGTCTCTACGACCTTGGCATCAACATGTCTCCGCGCCTCCATTTTAAGGCGCGGTCGCGTCTCAACTATTGTTCATGGAGACTCATGTGAACCGTCAAACTGGGGTAGCAAGTGCATATTAGTGGGGGTAAGAACACTTATTATTGAGCTCAGGTGTCTATTAAGCTGATTTTGAGACAATTGATATACAGCTTTTTGATGGGAAATATCAAAATAAATGAGAATAACAAACAATTCTATAAGTTAATGTATTAAAGGAAATCTTAAAACAATCTGCACTTGAAGACAATCAAACTATGTACTGAAAACAGTAATTTTAATGGAAGTTCCTAAAACATTACTTAGGTGTGAACGAAAATGTAGACATATGATCCTCAGTCCTCAACCACTTGAACAAGTTCTTTAAAAGACGATTCAGTCCTCGTGATCCTTGTATTATGATTGGTCATAAGGGCGATAGCTCGCTCTGCTAAATCGTTCGTCGACGATATGTTGTTTAACGCCGATTTTATTTTATGATAGTCGGCTGTCAGAGGCCACCTGTCCTCCTTTAGAAAGTCTGTTGGGACACCAACTAAGTCGAATAGGAGTCGTGATCTTGGTCCAACAAAGTCGGCAAGAGTTGATGACTTGTCTATCTATGGTAGCTCTGGCTTTTTGATGACGATATCTCCAGCACTAAAGTTTTTCTCAAGAATAGCTGTAGCTAGCTATTCCCTCGTTGATATAGGCAAGCTGTCGTCAAATAGGGCGAAGGTGATGTTTTCTTGGGTCAAGTACCAAGTGTGTCTTTGTAAGACTTTGGTACACAAGGTAGCTACTTTCTTGTCTATCTTCTTCTGTAAAAACGAGTCAATAGTTTGATTATTCACCAGTATTCTTAGAAAATGCAATTGATTTAGGAACTGATAGTTAAGTTTAGCAAATTCTGGCCCTAAAAAAATCCTTTCCTGAACAGAGTGATGTCATTAGAGGCTGCAGATTTAACGGAGTGGGCCTTGAACCATGGTTTTGTGTGTTGGGATTAGGGTTTATGTAAAATCGTTTTGTACGGCTGAAAAACCATAAAAACCAAAGTCACGTGAAATGTTTGGGCGAGCGAATTAGTAAGAGCCAAAGTACCCAGGAGTCATCTCCAAAAAAAATTTGAATAAACGCTGCAATGCTGAACCATTGTCAAAAAAAGTGGCACGTAGTCAGTGGATAATGTTAGGACATGCGAGGTCCTGTTGTTGGACCAGCGTTTTCTTCCCTCATTTTTGCCATCAATACACTGGACTTACCAGGGAGAAGAGGAATACCCCAAAGCAATCTATTCTCAATATTGATTGTGCATAATTTAGGTAAAGGAAATCTTCTATGAGTATGAATAATATGTTTGATCTGGATCTTCGCAATTTAGCTTATGAAAGAGATATTGACAGAAATTACAATGAAGTTTTGATATTTAGTTATTTGTTTTAGGGAAAGATTAGACTTGGGCGTTGTTTCAATTATCCTTGCTACACGTCGTGAGCCTCTCTCGTGCACGAGAACTTTGATCTTGTAATAAGATCAGAAAATAAATTTGAAGTTTACAATTTACATGTTATGCAATTAGTCATAACATGGCGAATATTTTGCTAAAAATGTGCAATTTTCACCCAGGCGCGAATAAATCATTTGAAGGCTGGAGGCGCATATTTTACTAAAATCAAAAATATGCAGTTTAAGCTCCAAGGCGCAACTAAACCATATAATGAGGCAAATATTTTACTGCGCACGTTTGACTTTGACCGTTTGGCGAATATTTTGCTTAGAAGGCGAATTTTTTATATCACAATATTTGCCACCTTATAAAATATTTGCGACAAAGCGCACAGCATTCCAAATCCAAGTAAATCATAACATGACGAATATTTTGCTAAGAATGGTACATATTTTGTTAGTCCGGCGATTATTTTCGTAACATGACGATGCTGCAATCCGAGAGAGGGCTAGCTAAATAATGCACTGCATGGTTTTGATAATTCTTCACATTTTATCTCAAAATCTTACACATTCTCTTTCAGAGCAACTCTTCAGAGTTTCTTATTATGATAAGGAAAGCCAGAATCTCGTGAAGTTTAAAGGTAGAGGACTCTTAGTTGTGAACTATTTTGATTTGGCGTCCAACGAAATAAAAATGGGGACAGTTTGCACAGGAAATTTCGATTATGATATGGCAGACTTGTACTGCAAGAAACTGGGGTATACGTACGGAAAGTGGAGACGTACCAAAGATGGGGCGGAGTTTTTTGACCAGCAGTAAGTGCTTCCATTTTGTATTCCATCTTAAGTACAAATAATTCTGCAGTTAACTCCACAAGCTCTAATGTATAAAAGAAGTGTAGTCTCATCTTGTAAAGTGAGAGACCTAGCAGTACTCATAGTAGTACAAATATTGTTACCGAAAATCTGAATACTAATGTATTTCTATTTTGAAAGGATGAGTAAACCTTCGAAACAATTAACGTGAGGCTAAATGATGGGAATACAGCAATATTATCATTAACTTTAAGAAGACCATTGTTATAGATCACGCAAACGTCTGCGGAATATACAAATTACAAAGCGACACAGTTTTAAGCCAGATACGACTCACCAGTCACCATCTCAGGTCTTCTCTCGAGAAAAAAAAGTTTCCTGCTTTGGAATGCACGATAACTAAATCTCACAACAAGACTGTAAAAGTAATCTGTGACATCAATGATACCTGTGCAGATCATCACAATGATATATGGCTGGATTGTGCAAACACCAAAGGTATTTACATTAAACCGTGCGTGCTAAATGATGAATCACAGAATCACTATACATTATACACTGGAACTTCGAGATGTTTCTTGGCTTTAGTGTTATGGTTAGAAATAGGAGGGTTGGGGGTTAAGTTTTAGGTAAGACTGTTTCGTTCGGCAGAAAAACGGTAAAAGACTTAAGTCACGTGATACTGATAGCGCGCAGGCGAGTGACTCTGTAAAAGTCATGATAACCGGGGACAGTTTAAATACTGGACAGGTCAAATACTGAGCACATTTAAGAAAAACGCAAAACGGCTAAAAGCAAAACCACGGCTATTAGAGTAGACAGTAATAGCAAGTAAGTTAGAACTCTCCACAATTATCTCGCCAGTACCGAACATTTAGTCTTCATGAGTTCAAAAATACTCTTCTCCAGATGCCATACGTTGGAGGGACGACAAAAGGTGCGGTAAAAGCTACCCTCTACGCGATGGAGGTCCTGCCGAATGCGCTTCAGATGGGGAAAACCCGTGTTGTAATGAAGTACAGAAAGTATGCGGGAACACTGAGGAGGACTGTGTGTGCCAGCAATGTGTGGACTACAGGAAGAAGGCTGACGCTTGGTGTAAAGTCTCCGAAGTGAACGGTTTTCTAAAAAACGTCTGCTTCAACGAAACACTCCAAAACCACTTTAAATGTATTAATTCAGATGTGTACTACAAAGAGGAACTTTCTATTTACAACCAGCAAAGAGGCGTCTATATGCTGTCCAATGTCAGCGCCATCTGCACAAATGACCCTAACGTCTATCAAGCTTGCGGATTCAGAACCGTCATCACAAACAGTTCTGTTCTCTGTGGTGGATACTTCTGCTTGGATTCTCAAAGAGGGGCGAATTACATGAAATACAAAAGCGGTAGGAAATGTGGAAACCCAGATCATGTAGTACAAGAAGTAGTAGTGAAAGAAGACACCATCACGTGTGATGGAAAATGTGACATAGTAGATACCTGTTATGATGAGGCTGTATGCAATGGCCTTACCTATGGAGTTCAGTGTGCAGAGGACAAATATGTTCCAGTACATTGGATTTGCAATGGAAAGATAGGTTGCTTGAAAGAGGAGGATGAGAAAGGATGTAAGAATTTAACGGAAAAAGATTCATGTACTCATTTCTATAGCAGCAATTATCTAAACGATGACAAAGAGGTCCCCATCATGGACCATACCAGATGTGCCGTTTTTGACATACCCAAGAATGTTTTCCCTTACTGCCTGGATTTCATGGACCAAACAAACTGTTTGGACAGCTCACGGATCGGAGGTTGGTGTGATGTTAATGATAATCGCACTCTGACTAGTATATCAAAGAGCATGGTCTGTCTCAGTCCCATTTTCAAGACAGTCCCGAGAAGATATAATTCTCTTTGTGATCAAGATTTGGAAAATCGTTGTACTCAAAGTTCAAAAAATTGTATTATTCATCGTCACCGGATGTGTGATGGTGTAGAAGACTGCAAGGACAAAAGTGATGAACTTAATGATGATTGCGATTTAGTCACAGATCCTACGGTGTTAGTGTGCGAAAGGAGATTTGGTATTCCTGGCCAGAAAATGAAAATTCCTTTTTCATGGCTGAGGGATGGCATTAATGACTGTCTGGATAAGGAAGACGAACGTGATAAAGGATGGAAACTATGTGATGAAGAAAGCCCGGTCACTCGGAGGGTGGTTGCGAGCGACGACTCTTGTGAAGACGTGTTTCTTTGTCCGAGTATAACTGAAAAACAAACTTTTGTGAGACTCGATAGTAACGTTCTATGTGATGGGGTGGAATCTTGTGGCGACGATACTGAGAACAATGTTTGCAGAATTGCTAGAGATTTCCCAGTCATACAAAGAACACTAACTGTTGAAAATAACACCGCTGATCTCTGTAGTATTACCACGCAAAATGAAGATGACTGTGAAAAAACAACATTCATGGGGTCTACAGGAGAAATCAAAATCTTTGGTGTAACAAAGCATCTAAAAATACCCATAACGAAAGTTGACTGTACAAAGATGTTCGGGGAGTTCTACGTCTACCTCAGCTGCATGGACCGCTGTGTAAACTCCAACTGTCCCCTTCCAGACACTTCTATCAAGCACGATGCCTGTCCTGGACAGTATCCAGACCGCATATACTCTCTTGCAAACAATAAGTATCTCACATTTGTTACAAAATCAGATTCACAGGCCGGATACCAGAACAACTATTTTCAATGCAATAACTCACGTTGTGTAGATTACAGTAAAGTTTGTGATCTCACCAACGACTGTGGCGATATGTCTGATGAGCAAAACTGCAAGAACCATATTCAATGTAGAAATGAAAAGAATCATCTCATTTCTCTAGATCAGCAATGTGATGGTATGTTTGATTGCTACAGCTTATCGGATGAGTGTAACGATAAATGCGGTAAACAGATGTTAGACCATTGGTTTTTGAAGGGAGCGTGTTGGCTATTTGGGCTGATGGCTGTCCTGTTCAACTTAATAATCATGGTTCAGATAGCTGTATCTGTTAACGGTGCAAAGACAGGGGTAATGCTTTTGACAAAGTTGCTATTGGGTTTAATTTGTCTTGGAGACTTGCTCAATGGGGTTTACCTTGTCACTATTTCCATCTATGACAGCCTCGTTTTCGGACCAGATTACTGTGAGAAGCAGGCTGAATGGCTATCCGGAACACCGTGTGCACTGTTAGGAGTAATAGGAACCATAGGAACACAGCTCTCTCTGTTCTCCATGACGACCCTAAGTCTCACCAGAGTGATAGGAATATCCTGCTCAGATATGACAGCTCCTTCTCGTGTCAACAAGAGATGGATAGCTATAATAGTTGCAACACTGACAACCGTTATTGCTTGCTCTGCTTCTATAGCTTTGGCTCCTTTGGTCCCTTCATTGGAAGATTTCTTCGTACAAGGCATACACTACAATCCGGAAAACAGAATCTTTATTGGTTTCCCGAATAAAGAAAAGCACGTCAAGGTTCTTAGTTCATACAACAAGACATCCGACTTATCTCTCGACACGACTTGGCATGATATTAGGGAGGGTGTGGCCAAAATGTTCACCGCAAAGCACAGCACTCTTAGCTGGGATAACGTACACTTCTACGGCAATGACGGTGCATGTCTATTCAAATTCTTCGTGCGCAATGATGATGCTAGAAGAAGTAGACAAACTGCTGAAACAGCATTTAATGTTGTTGACGCCATAGATTTTCAAGGAAACTTGATGTTGTGGATCGTGCTAGCAATAAACTTCTTCTGCTTTGTGGTGATCGGTGTATCATATATTCTGATTACACTACAAACTTGGAAATCTGCCGTGGACTCACACCAAACCCAAAACCCTGAGACTCTCCGGAAAAACAAGAAGATACAACGCCGGATAACTCTGATGATCGGAACTGACTTCTCCTGCTGGGTGCCATTTATCATCGTGTGTTATCTTCACAACGTCAAGTTTATTGATGCAACTGACTGGTACTTGTTCTTTGCAATGATCGTCCTCCCCATAAACTCAGTCATAAACCCTCTGATTTACGACAAGAACGACACCATATTAGGACCCACATTATCTGTGTTCACTCGCACTGGAACACTGATCTACAACTCAAGGGTCGTCAGATATTTCCGAAATAATCAAAGACCACAAGATGGGATGGAGCTTCAAGAAATGCTGTAGAAACCCCGCAGTGCGGCCACAAACAAGAAACAAAACATCCAGCTGAAAACATTCGAGGCACTAAAAAAAGACGCCATACATCCAGTTTAAAACAGATACGGCACCATTTAAAAGGCAAGACGTCCAGTTCAAAACTTATCAACAGAAACAAAGGGCATCTGGTTTAAAACAAATTAAGCACAAACTAGGGGAAAGACATCCAGTTCAAATCTAAAAACAAACAAAGCATCAACTAGGGGAAAGACATCCAGTTGGAAACAAATAGAGCACCAACTAAAGTAAAGACATCCAGTTCTAAGCTTCTAAACAAATAAAGCATGACATACCTGCCTAAGTCGATCCAGATGAAGTCTGGAACCTATTTCGTGACAGCGTTTCTCTCCATTTATCTCTCTCATGAGCAAACGTAGCTTATCAGGTTCCAATACAATATCTTCTTGTAGGACGTCCTGAAAGGTATTGTGAGGTCGTCCTTGATACTGATGGCCATAGGATGGTTGCCAGAAAAGGAGTTGCTGAGCAGGTTGGTCCTGTAAAAGTGTAAACGGTAGACATGTCCTACAAAATGAAGTGGAATAATCCTGTGAAGAACCAAGTTAGGTGGGTGTGATTTCCACAATTGATGCCAAAGACCCTTCGTAGCAAACTTGTATGGATACCATCTAGTGCTCGACTAGTTTCAGCCTTCTTAAGATTCCACGTTTCTAGGCGCCATACAGAAGAACGTGTTCTACTGCGGCTCTATAAAAATCTTGGTCTTGATCTTCCTAGACATGTCAAATTTTCAGAAAGCATCTAGACTCTGCAAGGCTTTCCAAGCAATATTCTAGTAACAGTCTAGTTGGGGAAACACATCCAGTCCAAAGAATTGGAGCACCAACTTGGGGAAACACATCCAGTCCAAAGAATTGAAGCACCAACTCGGGGAAACACATCCAGTCCAAAGAATTAAAGCACCAACTATGGGAAACACCTCCAGTCCAAAGAATTGAAGCACCAACTATGGGAAACACCTCCAGTCCAAAGAATTGAAGCACCAGCTAGGGGAAACACATCCAGTCCAAACAGGGACAAAAGGAAATCGCGGCATGTACGGAATCGCGATTTTTCCCATTATTTGCGACAAATTTTATGTATAGTTTAATATACCGCGAAATGTAATTCGCGGTATCGCGATTTTTGGCCAAAATAATCGCGAAATCCTTTTGTCCCTGAGTCCAAAGAATTCAAGCACCAACTAGGGGAAACACATCCAGTCCAAAGAATTCAAGCTCCAACTTGGGGAAACACATCCAGTTTAAAACAAATAAAGCACCAACTTGGGGGTAGACGAAACAAATCAGATACTCTAGAATGACCAACTGATGAGGACTCCTTGCGGGCAAATATTTTAGAGAAGCATGAGAATTTTGGATTATGAACACTGCAATTTAACTTCTGGGATTTCTATTTTTTTTTCAATATATTGATAGTATGTACTTATCAATATATTTTGAATGAAATACCCTATTCTGCATTAAACTATTTTTTGTAATGATTCAGTAATCGTGTAATTTGATTCGCCTTCTATTCTATTTCGGTATTTGTTGAACGCTCGATAATGGTATGTTGATAATGGTATGTTGATTATAACAACAAAAACTATATTGTCATTTTATAGGCAGGATTTTTTTACTTGCTAGTTTTTTTGAGAACTTATGGCTTTCATCAAATAATGATTATTGTAAACTTTTGTAGAAATCGTTTCTAATGATATAATGATTATTTCAGTTAGTATACAACTTAATTTGTTGTAAATACAGGGGGGGGGGGGGGGGGGGGGGGTCAAAGTCAGTTTACGTACGTTCATGGCCTTTGCCCTTTATAGCTCAGTGACTGAGTGCCCGATTGAAACAATTCTTCTTGGAATGACTTACATTTACAATCACCGCTCATTTAATGTTTCGCATTCATTTGATAGTTTGAATAATGAATATTCGGATGGAGCCAAATTGTATTGAATTTGCTATTCAAATGGCTGTTGCCCTGAAAAATTATCGTTCTAGCTTCTCAGATGATCGAGATAATAAGCATAAGATATTCATTATGTGTGATCAGGTAGTAGAGCCCAATTACAGTGTCGTAGCACTCAATCAATATTGCTACTGAAATAAACAAATTGCTTAATAACTTCGTCATTTTGGCGCCATCTTTTCAAAATAAAATTCCGGATTTAATCACCTATTGCAATATATGACAATAAATTTTCTAGCATTTTTGTAAACACGAGTATAAGCAAATCAATGTTGATTGGGTGTGGCCCCGAAAAACCAAATTTTCAAATTTTAGCGACAGAATTCTCGAATGAATAGGTACAGTATGTCATCTGCAAAGCAACAAGTCCTGGACAAACCTGGCACGTACTACTTCGTAGCACTTGCCTCTGGTCCGTCAATGGTATAATAAGACCCAACGTATGTAAATTGACTTTGCCCCCCCCCCCTCTATGGCTGTATTTTCAAAGCAATGCAGACAAGTGTATACAAAATACGCGATATCTATATTCGTGGTTTTCAAGGATGAATTGTTCGACCCATATTTTTTAAATATTGAACGGACATTAATTGAACGCTGGAGGTCCTAGCGTTCATCTTAATGTCCGTTCAAATAAATTCCGTCCGTTGAAAGGCCGATAAGGTATATAATACTTCAATTAAGAATTTGAAGTAGTTTATTTGACTTTTTCTGTTCAAAACTTATAACTCGATTAGGCCCAAAATTTGGACCCCAAGTGGTGTCAAAAACGCGAATTGAATTAGTAATAGTTATTTTAGTCTCTTGAGTCTTGACACCACTTTAGGGTTAGAGGGGTTCCTACTAGCCGTAAAAGAACAAAAATCACTAAACTTACCTTGGTATCGATACATAAAACCACTCCTTGAACTAGATGAAATTTACAAACTAGATCACGTAACTGCGCACCGAATTCTCAATACAAATGCAGCTAACAAAGCCGCGCCCAACCCTGTAAGTGATCACAAATTATTAAAAGACTCCCTCATAAATCAGTCAAAATTTAGTCAATCCATCAAACCACTATGCAGCAAAAAGTATAGAATTCCTAAAATCATCGAAGCTCTAACCAATCAATTCAAAAAATGTTGGCAATATCAAAAATCTACTTCTTCTAAACTCTCATTCTATCACTCAATCAAACACACCTTCAACCGAGAGCCCTACTTATACTTATGCAAAGGCTTTTCTCGTCGTTACAGCACCACAAAACTTAGAATCAGCGCCCATGATCTCCATATTGAAAGAGGCAGATACTCCAACACACCCCGTGAGCAAAGACTATGTGGTTGGTGCCAATCAAGTATGGGCGTTGAGACCATCGAAGACGAGTCGCATGTTCTTTACATATGTGACTTGTATTCAAAACAGAGATCGAAATTAGTCAAAAATCTTTCTCAAATGCCAATCATTGAAATAAGCAATGAAATCACCGACTCCAGCAATATCAATGAAACAAATCTCAAAGATCATCTCATGGAAATTTTGTCTCCTTACTCAACTGTAATTCCTCAAAATCACCAGAGCCTCCATATTCACTGCCACCGCTCACTTGATAATTGATATTCAACCAAACACTCCACAGTATATTCAATTTCAAGAAAGGCGCTCCTATACTGTCAACTGTGTGTGCACTTATTTCCTTCGCTGCTCCGAAGAGCGAAATAGCTTCACCGAAGATATGCGTCAGCGTAATTCAAATACACGAAACTTAAACAATTTTACTATCAATTTGGTGAGAACTTCGCGAATTAGTCATAATTAAGACTTAAGGATAACCCTGGCCCTGACTTCAAGCAAAGATGATTGTTTTCATTAACTTCTGTAAACAATTATGACGGTCCATGATAATGGATCTATAATTTAATTTTAATCCTGTGTAATCCTGTGTAATCCTACTAGTATTGTTAGTGTTTTCAGCTTGCAGCTCGAAAAGTAATGAATTGATTTATCTTATTCTGATTTCTTTAGAATGATTGTTTTTCTTGTCCACATATAGTTACAATCTAAGTTTTTAGCTGTGAATTCTACGTTGATCTACTAAAGTACCAATTAAAAATACTTAATTTTATATCTAAAGCGGGTCCATCAATGATATCTAATACGAAGTGTTTGAATATGGCTTGGTTAAGGTTCCGGAGGAGAAATTGGGGAATCATATTTCTACCACAATAGAGAAGAATGCCTTATTGCCGAGGTATATCTATTTTAGTACTTAGTATGTATGCCGTTATTATCGAGAAGGAGTATCAGTATTCACGCAGAACAATCGACCTAGATGAGGTAAAGTTTTACATATTATCTGATACATACAAACTTCCATTTACCAAGAAAACCGGAGAGAGGGAAAATAGCTTGATGTTATATATATCGTAGATATACGGGCTACACACAGTTCCATGGCCGGATATTATGCCAAATTATTAGACGGAGGTCCATTTCCCGTAGATCATCTCCGGAGATGATTCTCCGGCTCCGTCTACTGTATTAGACGGAGATGAAGCTCTCCGGGAATTTCTCGGAGATTGTAGCAGTTTTTGGCAGTTTCTTTGCACTTTGCTCCTCCTGTGAGAATCAACAAAATTACCGTAGATGGTCTCCGGATAAGGTCGTGGAACTGCAAACCGGAGAAATATCCGGAGAAATATCAGTAGACGATCTCCGTCTAATAATTTGGCATAATATCCGGCTATGGAACTGGGGGTAACTTTTGATGCCATCCTGTTGATGAATGTAACACGTTGGAGAATGTTACTCGGTTAAGGTAGGAAATGCTTAAATAACCTCACGGTAAATCATGGTTTGACTCCAGTATTATTAATTATTATATACTGCTCCGTTAAATACCGTAAGTAGTGGACACACATTCGAGATCAGTTGAGATTGTACAGTGGTGTGATCGTATTTTGATTGTGGTGTTGAGATTGAACCTTAGTAGAGGCTCTTATACGGGCAAAAATACGTGTTTTCTGCTATGAGTTTGGAGACCTTACCATCAATTGGACACAATAGTATGATGTGTAAGGATCAAGAATATGTTTAAAAATATAAACAGGACCTTATTAGTCACGTGCTATACCAATGCGCGATTTTTTGACAGTCTATAACGATCTTAGGCCAATAACGTATTTATTTTCATATTTTGTCAGTAATAAGATCACATCGTTTTCTATTTGGTATGAAAATATGAGCTAAATCAAACGTAATCTCGCTGATGTTATGGCTGTTTGAGATTTTTGATGAATGCGCAGGAATTAAACAGGAATTAAACACGAAATGACAAAGGAGAACACTAACGAACTCGTCTTGGTAATACATCAATTGATCATAAAGATGACCAGAACTCTAAAACATCGAGTTAAAGCTATAAAAAGTAAAATCTTCAAAATTAACCGCGTTACAATTTCACGAAAGAGAAACAAAATCAAATATAACAATTTAAATACGAGTAAAAAATGGAGGCTGTGCAATGTGTTCTTGGAATGCCAATAAAAAGGAAACAAGTCATGGAAATTGGAGATGAGTTAATGAGGATGAGTAGGAGACGGGAAGTGATCACTAGGACTTCTTTTTAGGAGGATTTCTCTGTTGTATGGAATGAGTTCATGATGGCCCCAATATATTCATTTAGCATGACTAACGACGACTCTGACGAAAGTATGGTAACAGAGTCTGATGAAGAAGACAGCGAGATAAAGTTGACAGATCCCGGCTTATATTGCCCAAATAAGAGGGCAATATTTCAGGAACTATAACTATAACCTATCCGTCAATGACATATTCGACAACCAACACATCTCCACTATCGTAAACATTGTAAACTGCACACTAAACGCTTAATTGTGCCAGAGGAGCTGGACTAGACTGGTATAACATAATAACATAGCGACTACTCACACGTTGTCTTAGTTCACCTCTCTCTTCCGCATCCAGCTACCACTTAAGCGATCATTTATGACACATCTTACAATACTTACCATCATCCTACATTACACATTCTGATTCCACCGGCATCCTCTCATAGGAGGATCGCATGTGGTAGGCAAAGCATCCACATGCGATCCTCTCGTGGGCCACCCAGGCCCAGCCTATCCACACAAAAAAAGAAAAAATAGTTCACAGATAACTCGGATGACGAGGACATTGTGTAGGGTAGAATACGTTACGGTTAATTTATCATCTCACCCCAAACAAACACTAATTAACTCTGACACACCAACACAATAATTTAATTTTAACAATAATTAGTAAAAATATGCAAAAATTTGGAAAAATCCCGGTTTGGTCCCGGCAAAAATTCCGGATTTTGACCGGGACCGGGATTAGGCCGGGATCCCGGTCGACCCTTGAGTACTACTACTAGGTATATCGGCCGAAAGCAACCCTAAAACATTTCTAGAGAGTGTAATTGATGTAATAAAACCTGAACTTATTATAATTCGTAAGCCGTGAATGAATGGGAAACGCGAGCGACTGATTTCATTCTCGGTAAAATTTTGCATTTGAGAACGGTTATTCGAATTGATATCATTTCCTTTTGTTTGGGAAAAGGAGACACTCACAGACACTGGTAACGGTCCACTTATACCCAATTATGGGTTGTTGTAAAATATATTACTACAATCTGTCTTTGAACAGGGGTTTCAGAAAACCCTCTTCCCCATACTCCTGAAAATTTTCCATTCGATTTGGTCAACGTCTAGATGCCCTGCAAAATTTCAGACTTCTAACTTAATTTTAACATGATTTTTACCCACCTGAATATTAGTCTATGTAATAAGCGCCATGAGTTGGCACAGAATTTTTCCCGCCAATTTTTAATTTTATACATTTGGTACAAAAAGTTGTCTAAAAATGCGAATAAAATAAATCCATCGTTCACATATAATGTGACAGAATGAGCTTCATTTCCCAATAACAAAGTGCACGTAACTATTACCTAGCTAACCATTCGAAACAAAATATTTTAGGGCTATGATAACGAACCATCAGATAATTAGTTTAAATGGTTTTAAGGACACCTCTATGGCGGCCGAGATGGCTCACCAAAATTTTCACTGAAAATTTTGAATAAAAAAATTAATTATACAATTAATCGCAAAATAAAAACGATTTTGAATTTGATTTGTAAAATGATTTTAAAATTTAAATAAAAAACGATTTTCATATTGAAATTGAAAACGATTCTCATTTTTAAAACGATTTTGAGTTTGATTTTGAAAACGATATTGATTTTGATTTTGATTTTGATTTTGAAAACGATATTGGTTTTGATTTTATAAACGATATTGATTTTGATTTTAAAAACGATATTGATTTTGATTTTGAAAACGATATTGATTTTGATTTCTAAAACGATATTGATTTTGATTTTGAAAACCATTTTGATTTTGATTTTGAAAACCATTTTGATTTTGAAAATGTTTTTTTTTTTTTTGGTGGCGGCCGAGATGGCTCAGCCACCATACGGCTAGCTAATTAGCCGTATGGGATTTATGTTCCGGGGTATTTGGAACAGGTTTAGGGGTTTAAATAGTTAGTACCTGTCCCAAACCATCAGAAAAATCAAGTTTCGACCTCCCAACCCACTCAGGCCACTCACAGGGGCCACGCCCATACGGCTAATTAGCTAGCTGAGCCATCTCGGCCGCCACCGAAAAAAAAAAAAAAAAAAAAAATTCAAAATCAAAATGGTTTTCAAAATCAAAATCAAAATGGTTTTCAAAATCAAAATCAAAATGGTTTTCAAAATCAAAATCAATATCGTTTTAGAAATCAAAATCAATTATATCGTTTTCAAAATCAAAATCAATATCGTTTTTAAAATCAAAATCAATATCGTTTTTAAAATCAAAACCAATATCGTTTTCAAAATCAAAATCAAAATCAAAATCAAAATCAAAATCAATATCGTTTTCAAAATCAAACTCAAAATCGTTTTAAAAATGAGAATCGTTTTCAATTTCAAAATGAAAATCGTTTTTTATTTAAATTTTAAAATCATTTTACGAATCAAATTCAAAATCGTTTTTATTTTGCGATTAATTGTATAATTAATTTTTTAATTCAAAATTTTCAGTGAAAATTTTGGTGAGCCATCTCGGCCGCCATACACCTCACTGTAGAAAATAGGTATCGTGTTTTGTGTTTGACAAAGTTACCAATATTCTATTATAATGGTTGGATCCGTGCCCTTTAATCGATGTTGTATTATAGTTGTTAGATTGACCTAATGGCTAATCTACTACGTTTCAATGTACAAAAAATGGGTATCAAAATTAGTCGATAATAATAGAAACAGGATGTATGCACCAGTAGGCAATGTGTCGTGTCCACTGTCCCTGCTACATATACTTACATAACAGGAGCATGTAATAAATAAGCTTTATAAATACGTGCACTCCTTTGTACATTGTACACAAGAGCTGGTGCCTTGTGCAGTACTCTTCTGCTCAGTGCTCATGCTTACGTAATTTAATTTCATTGGCTTAAAAAACCAATTCATTATAACCAACTAATAGATATATATATATCGTTATGCAGTCATGATTATGTCATTTTTCTTTAAGAAATATTTCATTTTCCCTTCATAGCGCCATCTTATTTTGTTGTCCCATCAACCGTATGCTTTTTACCAATTGCAAAAAAGGATATGGCGAGTATACCGAATGCTATGAAATATGTCAACCAAGTAAGTTTCCCGCCAAAAAGGCATTCGAGTATAAAATTGAAAAGGCAGCAGGAAATATATCTCAACATTGCCTGGGCGACGTGGGTGTACAAGGTTTACAAGGTGTGTGTGTTTCACAGCAACTCTTACAAGATGCTATAAAATCGCCCTTTGTTTTTCAACTTTTACTTTTTTTATTTTGTTCTTTTATAAGTTATTTTGACTGTACAACTTTCACATTTTTGAACGTCGTAAACTAATTAAATCACTAAAAATCTATTAAATTAATTTGGTATTATGTAAATGTAACCACATATTATAGCACGCTAGCAGTAGCTACATGACACGTCGACATGAAGGCCTTGTTTCAATTTTAAATGAAAAGCTTTAATAGGCAACTTTGGAGCACCTTAACGGAATTCATTTTGACGGACATTATTTTAGAGGCTCGTTACAATCTAGAGAAATTTGCTTTAATAATAATGTCCATTCAAATAAATTCTCTCCATTCAATGTCCAAATTTAACAACTGTGTATACCCTAAAAAATCAAGATTTTTGTAAGTTTCAAAGTGCCTTTCTATCATTCATAATTTTGTTTAAAAATCATGACCGTTTACGCAATCTCCATCCAAATCATGTCCGACATGATAATAGTTAAATTGTTCAGCGAGGCAGAAACGATAATGACTATCATTATCAATATAAATAATGATTTCTATTTTTAATCCAAAATTAGCAGCTCTAATTGATTACATTTTTTCGTAGCGTTTATATCAATGGTCTCACTTTTGTTTGACTCTTCATGGTGTAGTTTCCGGCTTTTGCTAATTCGCTCGCCTTAAAATTATCACGTGACTTTTGTTGTTATGATTTTGCAGTCGAACAGTTTTCACAAGAACTTGAAAAAATTGAGGCGAGCGATTTATAGTGAAAGCTATGTCATGGGGGTGATTCGGAATCAGCGTCCCAAAATACATCGATCCAAGTTGATTTCAACCTTTTAGAAAAATCTCAAAGATCGATTGAAAGTGATTTAGCACGCTCGTGTTGCGTTTGCGAACGTTAACTTAAATTGATATCATTTATTTTTATTTCGAAGAAGGAGATACTGGAAACAGTTCAGTCAACCCAATTTTGTAAAAAATAGGGTTGAATTTAATTTGACTGAACTTAGTGAGTAAGCAACGCTAGTTATTGGTTATTGTCCTATATAGCGGGGATTCTTAAATTTCTCAGTCTCACAAAAGTCTAACTCTAATGTGTATTTAGTTTTACTCTTATTACCATTATTTTGATGCAGCCTTTTCATTGGGTTAAATAAATATTAATATGTTGGCACTTTTAGGCGAATAAGATAAATGAACTAACCCAGGTAGGATGATTCCAATAACTTTGGGAGAGGCACTGGACAAAACAAACAATCATGGCAGATACCAGATTTTGCTGTTTGTTCTATGCTCACTTTTCACGGCTCAAGAAGTATTTCACATCTGTTTAGACATCTTTACCGCTAAGCCTCTGTCTTGGAGATGGAGAAATGAGGACACAGAAATTGAACGGTAATTTGAGCGTGTTTAGTACGGTAAAACATCTCTTTAACAATCGCTGCGGGGCCAATGCCTCATTAAAGACGGACCTTTACCAGTTTACCGTGTTTAACGATTTTTCGTTCTTGACGTATATACCTAACATTTTAGTCTCTTGCTCGCTTTTCTCACGTGATGAAAAGAAGCTTACGTCTAATCGAAGAGGCTTGAAAATAGCGCCGTTTTCAGTTTTTAATCTAATTCTACAAACGCGTTGGATGTAAATTTGTTAAACTGAGGACAATCGAGCCATATCATAAATATAATCTAGAGCCAAAGTAGTAAGTTGCGAGTTACTTTATCAATTTAATGTGCCGTAATATCAAGTACAACTCCTTTTAGTTTTGTTAAATTTGTCGTCTTGAAAACATGTTCACATTTCACAGGTTCTCTTATCCACCGTGTCAGGCCAGCAGACCGTGGGTTTATACACAAAACAGCACGGTATCAATCAGAAGGTGGGTGTTTGACCGATCAATTATAAACTAATTCCTCTTAAAAACACTTTCGCACATTTTTAGTATTTTAAATTTTAAATTAGTTATTTATAATCAATTATTATCTTATAGTTATAAAGGACGCATATGAATTGTTAAGTTTATTGTTTGCATCTCTACGATTTTATCTTCATCCCAGCGAGTTTGACCTGCACTGCAGTCCAATAAAGCTAAGTCTGATTCCAGCCTCCTTCTTCGCTGGTCGAGTGTGCGGACTGCTCCTTTTCTGGAGCGTGAGTACTCAGTTTGGGAGGAGGTGGCCTGTCATCTGTTCCATCTGGGCTAACAGCATTGTGTCGTGGCTGCTAAGCTGCAGCGTCAGCTACGAGGTATTTTCAACTTTTATCCGTATCGTGATAAGCAAAACAGTCTCTCCGGAATTATTATTTTTGGCCAGTATTCACAAAAATTCCTATTACATATTATTATGATTAAGTGAAAAGTTTAACCTCAAGCATTAATGTTAATCTGGAATTATTTAATCTTAGATCATTAGATATAGGGATCTTAATTTTGAAACTTAAAGGGGCGTTATAGACTATAGTAGCTTAGTAAAGAAAACAAGTAAAGAGCTACTGCCATCTCGTGATTTTTCAATTCAGGCGCTTTCCATAAAAGGAACGTGATTATGAAACAGCACAATACTTGACATGGATAATAATTAATCACTCTACACTCGACTATCACGTGACACACTTTCCCAATCTTCAACTGAAGCATATGCTAAAAACTTAACGAGAAATTAGACCATGTCACGTGATCAGAACAGGCCGGAAGCATTTCATGTTCAACCCCCCCCCCCCAGTTAAAAGAACATGGATTTAAATTAGTTTCAATTGTTGATCAGGGGCTAGTTTTTAAAAAATCTCGGAGTTTGAGTGTTAAGAGATTTAAAACGCTCGACTTTACATCGCACTAATAATTTTCTTTGGACCACAGGTATACGTTATTTTGCGTATTTTGGACGGGTTCACAATGGAAGGGTATGTGACAATAAGCTACGTGTTATTGATAGAATGTATCAACGAAAAAAAAAGACAAATATTCGCCACTCAATTCAGGAGCTTACAGGTTAATGTTTATTTTATTCTTTATAACGTAGAAGTAGTTACAATACAGGAAAAATCATTAAATTCTCAAAAATAACGACCTGTGGTGTGAAGAACTTTTAATAGTCTGTCATGTGTAATAAGCGCCTGAATATTAGTCTATGTAATATAAGCGCCATGAGTTGGCACAGACTTTTTTCCGGTTTTGATAACTTTTGTACCAGAAGTTGTCTAAACATGTGAATAAAATAATTCCAATTCCATCGTGCAGCAATTTTCGCTAAAAATGCTTCGTGGTACTTAGTTCTTGCTACACGATGTATACCTCTTATCTTCGGGCGCGAAAACAGAAAAGGGGTTTACAACGTGTATAAACGCTTGTTCGCCGCACGTGCTTTTTTTGCGCAAATTTTACAGTTTTTATATTTTTTGGCCTATAACTTCCACAGTTTCAGATATTTTGAAATAATTGTTATGGAGTCGTAATCAGTTCAGCGAGACTAAACTTTTGGTACTAATAAGATAATATTATAGGCATTTTAAGCGAGAAATTATCTATTTTTCGTCCTTTTTACACACTTGCAATGCAGAAGAGGCTCACATACAAATCGACCTTATCGTGCTGCACGGTGAATTTGTATCATTCACACTTAGAGGCAACTTTTGGTACCAAAGTTATCAAAATCGGAGACAAAAAATTCTGTGCCAACTCGTGGCGCTTATAACTATAATTCAGCTAAAGCAAAACTTTACTGTTCATAGGGATTGGGATTCATCATTCTGTCCGCGGTAGCGTATCTGTCCTCCAGCTGGAAAATGACGAGTCTGATAATGGGGCTTCTTATAACGATACACGGAGCTCTTGCTAGTGTGTTTATACCAGAGTCCCCACGGTGGCTGCTCGCACAAGGTCCGAACAAAACTAGCACATCTGTAAATAAAGATTCAACAATATTGCAACATAGGAGATGGGTTTTTACAGCCATCCACATTCCACAGGGGAGTATCACCTCAATAAATGTAATAGATTTGCAGTGTTGTAATTAGTTTAAAACATTTATTGAGGTGAAACTCCCTTGTGAATGGCTGTAAAAAGCCAAAACTAGTCGAGTCTCAAGCGGGTCGCCTCGAGGTACATCGTTTTCATGACTATTTCAGTTCTGAATTTAGGAATAATAAATGTATAGTATTATGAAGCAGCACTATTCTCTTCAGGCAGAAACGGTGATATCGTAACATTGATTCACAAAGTATCAACTTGCAACAACCGAAGGATAAAAGACCAGTTTTACATTATCGAGAACAAAAAAATAACTCCAAGTAAGATCAAGAATCAAGACAGACTTAACTTGGTACTACCATTGCTTGAGTGAATGTCTGTGGTTACTGTGGTTACTGTGGTTACAATAATTATAACTCGACTCTTGGTCTGCTTGACGGATTTTTTGTCAGTTTTTTCGAAGAGTGCGATAACAAAACTATTTGCACTGTTTTGAGAGCAAAATGTCGTTTGACACATTCGTTTTACAACATTTAATTTTGTGTAGATTTTTGATAAGTAATAACCGATATAATCATGTAATATTTTAAGTAAAAATTTGTTGGTTCTACGGGCCAGTCTCCAATCAATCAATCATTGTTTGGTGAATTTGTGTAAATACTAAATCAATACTTGTCAGGAGAGAGTCTTATGGCAGAGAAGGAGTTATTTCTGACCACGCTAAGTCTTGTGATCGTATGGGGTCTTCTTCACGTAGCCGAGTACATCCTCTACTTCAACATTCTCTTCCTGCCTGGGAATGCTTATCTCAACCTGCTCTTACTAGGTATCTTACTCATTACTCAATCTCTCGAGTGGATTTATTGGAAGTTTGTGATAAGATACAAATCTGGTCTGTGCGGATTGTTGCAGAGATTTGTGAAAATTAAATAGCTATATATAGTTATATATACTGAACGTGTTTTTGATCTGTTGGTTGATTCAAATCAAAACAATAAAGTCACTACGCCGAATTGCTACTAGCAACTAAATGTGTAAAATGTTACAAGCTAATGAGGCCGCATGTTCAGGTGTGTTGCTACTAGCAAATAAATGTGTAAAATGTTAGAAACTAATGAAGCTACAAGTACATGTTCAGGTGTGTTGCTACTAACAACTAAATGTGTAAAATGTTAGAAACTAATGAAGCTACATGTTCAGGTGTGTTGCTACTAACAACTAAATGTGTAAAATGTTAGAAACTAATGAAGCTACATGTTCAGGTGTGTTGCTACTATATAACAACTAAATGTGTAAAATGTTAAAAGCTAATGAAGCTACATGTTCAGGTGTGTTGCTACTAGCAACTAAATGTGTAAAATGTTAGAAACTAATGAAGCTACAAGTACATGTTCAGGTGTGTTGCTACTAGCAACTAAATGTGTAAAATGTTAGAAACCAATGAAGCTACATGTTCAGGTGTGTTGCTACTATATAACAACTAAATGTGTAAAATGTTAGAAACTAATGAAGCTACATGTTCAGGTGTGTTGCTACTAACAACTAAATGTGTAAAATGTTAGAAACTAATGAAGCTACATGTTCAGGTGTGTTGCTACTAACAACTAAATGTGTAAAATGTTAGAAACTAATGAGGCCGCATGTTCAGGTGTGTTGCTACTAGCAACTAAATGTGTAAAATGTTAGAAGCTAATGCAGCTACATGTTCAGGTGTGTGTGATATCCCAGGCAGAGCTTTACCCATCGTCCTGATGGACCACTTAGGAAGAAAACGAACTTTGTTTCTGTGGAACCTGTTGGCAGGGTTATTTCTGCTGGTGTGTTGTGTCGACAACAAAATCGTCCGGTCCCTCTCTTACTTCGTAAGTTTGCATTAAAGTCGCTGTATTAACATTTTAGTCTTCTAGTTCTATACAGCAGACGTGGTTTAGAGTTTTTAATAGCATGTCAAAAATTTTGAATCTTAAAGCTTACTCAAATAATGAGCTAACTGTCACTTCCATGGCAGATCGCAAAGCTGGTTATGTCTGGGAATATTGTCCTGATTAAAGTGTACACAAACGACCTGTCACCCCGGAGCGACTACTCTGCGCTTTACGCCTACTGTGAGCTAATGAGCAGATTAGTCGGGTGCGGTGTTCCCTTCCTCCTCTGCCTCAACTATCAGTACCCTTCCTACTGGCACATGTACGCTGTGGCGGGCTGTTCTGTACTCCTCTCAACCATCTTCATCCTCCCTCTCCCTGAGACTCGTGGCAGGGCAAAGCCTGAAAACGTAAACCAGTTTATCAGCCTGTTCTACGGTTCCAGGTTCAGACCAGTTAATCAGGGATATTCTAATGGCCGTGTGACCACCCCCCATATAAATGCACAACTAACAATGAACGCGGGTAAAGCTGTAGATGATCATGTTTACCCTATGTCTAAAAAGTTGATGGAGTCAATTCCACAAGCCTCTACGTCTAGAACGTGGACTGAAAGAGTGGTCCCCAGATTTCCCCGAAATAACATGGATCAGCGCAATCATGGGACGCAAGAATTTAAACTTAGTCTACTTTCGAACACAGACGTGAGAAATCATGAGACACAGCAAGAATTTGAACTTAATCTACTTTCGAACACAGACGTGAGAAATCTCTCTCTACACGACCCAGATATCTACAAATTGAAAAAACACTCCCCCAACCTTGAGTCGGGTGTAAAAGCCCGAGAACTGGTTCGACCAAAATCTCTCAACATCCAGAGACGGAACAACAGACCAGTTTTATCTAGGAACCCTTCTTATGCGAGCTCGTTAAACGACACCAACACCATAATGAGTGCAACACCCGATACCAGCTTCGACCTGGCTGCATCTGAAAACAGCAACCTGTTGACACCCAATAATGCAGATTTTCAGATTAACGAGGATTTGTTGAAACGGAACAGTCTGTTTACATTCACTCCGAAATCAAGCGTTCGCAAGGACTTCTTTTCACTTTCCAGGGTCTAATATTTACCTTGTTAAGTTTATGTGTCATCTTGGCGTTTTCATAGTCGTGTTTTAATGACTTTATCTCTGAATTAGGCTGCAAATGCAAGCCATTGATGATTGAATGTTTGAAACATTCGAAAGGATTGGCGAACCGAATCTCTAACGGTCCGAATCCCTATTCCCTACCAGTACCACTTAACTAAAAAAACTTAACTCAAATCCATTTTTTATACAGTAAGTAAGAAAACCATGGTCGTTAAGCAGTAAAAATTTTCAAATATGTGTACATGATCAGTGTCTAATATCACAGTGTCTAATATCACATAATATCATCTTCTTCAAATGGGTTTTTGTGCATGAAATAGTTCATACTTAAAGCATCAGTGATTTCTAGCTTTATGGAAACGTTTTTTCATCAAACTACCGCGGTCCTGCATTTCAGTGTTAACTTTTACAATTGCCATTCGGCGTGAAGTGGTTTATTTTAAACAACTTAAGGTTATCCTTAACATCACGTGGATTACCTCCCCTGAGTAATATGAACTATAACAACGTCGGACAATGTCCTTGGCAACACGATTTACTGTAAAATCTACAGCTGGAACAAGTTTGTCATGTTGGCGGGGACTAGCTCATGAACTATGTTTTTGAGTGCCATAATTTCGTTGACTTTTTCTGCCAATTGACCCTTGAAAACATCATATACTAGTAGAGTTTTCTGGGCAGACCAAGGAGAATCCTTTCCGTCGTTAACTACCTTACGGCACAATAAAGTTCTCATAGTTGTCATATTCTGGACAAAAAGTTAAGAGTGGAAACATTTTTGAAAAAAATTCAACGGACTTTAACTTGTACGGACCTTAAAGTTAAATGAACGGACTTTATTTGAACGGACATTAACTTTAAAATGAACGTTAGGGCCTCCAGCGTTCAATTAATGTCCGTCCAAATAAGGTCCGATAAGGCAGTCGTCCAGCTGGACGGTTCTCCGCGGGACATATTTAATGCAAATAAAAATAAAAGAGAGACACTGGCAGCGGTCCACTCTACCCAATTATTATACCCAAATTCTATAATAAAAAAGGTGGAAAATATCTTGACGATTATAAGGACAATTCACGTAAACAATGACATATAATTAACAACTTGTTGAACAGAGGCCAAAAGAAAAATCCAACAAAGAGACTTGTCAACTACACGGCTCCGTAGTGAACTCTCCATCATATCAGGTCTAGCCTGAAACTTATAATACATACTTCGTGAACATTCAATGAAACAAATTATTCCGGCCAACTATGCTCCGGACCTTTTAATTACCGGACCTTTTAATTACCGGACCTGCTCAACTCCGGAAAAATGGCCCGTTTAACTGTTCTTTTTTGGTCCGGGGCTCGAAGTTTCACTGTAGGCCGCGTTTTCAATATCAGATTTGCAGAACAATGCCCACTAAAATATAAATTGTAAAGTGGCTAATGCTATATCGGGAGTATTTTGTTACTACTACTATAAGTCACCGCATTTCCACTGAAGATCTTTTGTTCTCTACGACAATACGCTTATTGCGCATCACAATATTCTGCCTCATTCTTACCTGGCACGGCAGGTAACCTCATTCCTGAATGTGGTATGCTCCATGAAGTGAGTTAATTTCACGCAGCGTTCGCGATGGTAGATATCGTCCCTAACCAACCTTCGGGCATTATAAAAAGGGGGTATTCCCGTCCCTTCATCCAAATTACGAGAGGAGCTCCATTTCCTTACGAATACGAAGACATCTCACCGCCAACTCAAAAAGGTAAGGAGGGCCTATGATTTATACTGTAAAACTTTTTTATAGCGTACCTCTCTAATTCTATACCAGGTACTTCTCTATACTGGGGCTCTTCTTTCCCCCAAATTGTTGGTAAATTAGCCCGTGTTTTGATATTAAAATGAGATTTTTTAATGCTTACATCGCATTTGGTGTAAGTACATATCAAGCTGTATTACATCGCATTTGGTGGTTCTGTAAGTACATATCAAGCTGTATTACATCGCATTTGGTGGTTCTGTAAGTACATATTAAGCTGTATTACATCGCATTTGGTGGTTCTGTAAGTACATATCAAGCTGTATTACATCGCATTTGGTGGTTCTGTAATCTGTAAGTACATATTAAGCTGTATTACATCGCTATATAGCTATATGACGCCGCACGTGACTTTCTCCACGTACCATTCTACAAAAGTATTGTTGAAGATGATCAGCTGTATGTCCTCATCTCTTGTCCCAAATACCGTAAGCAGAGGATTAACCTAGAGACTGAAACTAAATTACAACTCTTGCGATATGAAGATCATTGAAAACTTTTAAAGGACACCATCTTTCACTAAATATCCAAAGAAACGATCTCTCATCATCAAATTCAAACCTCACCAGGCATCCATGACTCACACACGTTGGCCGTTGCACTGATTTTGTCGAGTCTTTTTGTTTACATGACCTTTCTTTCTTTTTTACTGACTCTATACTTCTTCTTTTTAAGATATGACATTACACTGATATACCTAAAGATTTTATATAATATATTTGTAAACCTTGTAAACTTAGTAAAACTATACTAATGGGGTAAATGAGAGTCTCATTATGATACCCTTAACAGGTTATTTGAGAGGCTTCAGATACTAGGATACTAGGATTATTAGTATAGATATCTATAAATAGACGCTTTGGCAGGCAATTATAGGTTACTAGAAACCCGCTAGTCGAAAGCTTTGTTTGAGAAAATTTTTAAAATCAGTTTGTTTTACTTTCTCTTCATCATCTAGCTCTGTACTGTAAACACAGTACTGTGTACAGTGTACACACACACACACACACACACACACACACACACACACACACACACACACACACACACACACACACACACACACACACACACACACACACACACACACACACACACACACACACACACACACACACACACACACACACACACACACACACACACACACACACACACACACACACACACACACACACACACACACACACACACACACACACACACACACACACACACACACACACACACACACACACACACACACACACACACACACACACACACACACACACACACACACACACACACACACACACACACACACACACACACACACACACACACACACACACACATGAATTTGTACCGAATCAAATTGTTTTGTCTATAATTTCCAAATCCCCGACCAAACCATAAGTACGGTTTTTTAATATATGTCCCCTAAACTTAGAATAATTTAAAAATCCCCTTTTATTCACCGCTTCATGAGCGGTACTAACAAAAGCATATTTCCGCTTACCATTACTTAGGACCAGTGACGGCTGAGAACAAATTGTACTAATTTGCAGCTATCAATCAGTGGCTAGTAGCTTTGCAGCAGTAGATTAGCACCACAGCAATTTCCTTCTCCGAGAGTATACAAAATATAATTATAATCAAGTGCAGTGTGATTAGTCTGTAACGAGAGAAGATGAAAAGTTGTCTCACACTGGTTTACAATAATAAGCTTGATCGTCGATCGTTTCTCAGCGGCTCACATGACACCATTTACTACTGTCTGGCAATTATTTGCCCTAATCACAAAATTTTTCGACTGTTGGTGCGTGGAAACTTACATCTCTCTTCTCGTTCATTTTCCCTTTGAACGTCTGAATTCTTTATTATTTTCTTATGATAATTTGTTGAACATTGAACGCTAAAAATACCAATTGAAACTTCATCTGCTGATGTCTAGCTGTTATGCAGCTGTTATGTAACTTCTACTGATATTTACACTAATTCCGAAGTCTTTAACTTCTCGCACTGTTTAGTTTAGGTCTAAGTTTAAACTGGTGAGGTTATCTGGGTAGTTGCTGTGACGTGAGTTTGAGTATGGAGGAAAGAAGCGCTGTTCTTTACCCCCCGGATATGGAAAACTCATGTGCGTCTTTGGAAATCACAGTGCTGGCAAGTGCCGTCAGCCCCCTTACTATTATACCCCCTTTACTAGTAGTGTTTTGTTCATTTAGACTCTTCAGAAGTCGTTCAGCAGGTTCATTTGTGTTCAAAATGACCTAATTCAATGTTTAAAATGACAGGAATAGAAAATAGCTATGTGGAGATTTTTAAGAAATTTGCAGATAGAAACCGTCTAGATCGAGCTCCTCTCCCTGAAAAGGCAAGCATTCTGCATTAAAATTTGTTTCATTGAAACAGAGAACGGCGTATTTTGTGTATCGATCTATATTCTCCCGGAATTCTTCAATTTTACCATTAAGTGACCTAACGTTTAGCGAGAAAACTTTCAATTCATAATACTCGGTATGAGTTATGGGACTGGTTGTTTCGGTATAATGCCGTCAAAGCTATGAAAATTTGCATTTGAGAACGGTAGTTCACTTTTTTTTTATTCGGAAAAAGGAGACACTGGCGACGGTCCACTCTACCCAATTTTGGACTTTATTAAAATTGCAGCAATAGCTTTAGCGCAATTGGAGACAAATTTTCTGCAATTCGTGAACACTAAATAGTGAATAGTAAGAATACTTTTGATTTCATTTAACCCCATAAATAATTGTCACATGGTTTGTTGAACTCGATAAAATTCTTCGGCAATCTTTTTACCAACTTAAAACCATGCGCAGTCTCAAGAATTTGCGTTGATTTGTACCTATACTATCTAAATGCATTTGTTTCCTTGATGATCATTTTTGAAGATAGGTTTGATGTTGCATAATATTCTGAAGTAAATCAATTTTTGATAATGAGCATTAAAAAAATATATATAATGCAAGAATTCCGATAATCTCACTCAAACCAATTTATTTTCAGCTCAACCGAAGAGACAGCAAACTAAAGAATCTACAAGTCTGTCAGTAGAGCGTAAGTCTGTCAGTAGAGCGTAAGTCTGTCAGTAGAGCGTAAGTTGACTGTCAGTAGAGCGTAAGTTGACTGTCAGTAGAGCGTAAGTTGACTGTCAGTAGAGCGTAAGTTGACTGTCAGTAGAGCGTAAGTTGACTGTCAGTAGAGCGTAAGTTGACTGTCAGTAGAGCGTAAGTTGACTGTCAGTAGAGCGTAAGTTGACTGTCAGTAGAGCGTAAGTTGACGTCAGTAGAGCGTAAGTTGACTGTCAGTAGAGCGTAAGTTGACTGTCAGTAGAGCGTAAGTTGACTGTCAGTAGAGCGTAAGTTGACTGTCAGTAGAGCGTAAGTTGACTGTCAGTAGAGCGTAAGTTGACTGTCAGTAGAGCGTAAGTTGACTGTCAGTAGAGCGTAAGTTGACTGTCAGTAGAGCGTAAGTTGACTGTCAGTAGAGCGTAAGTTGACGTTATACCCCCTTTATCAAGTCTGTCAGTAGAGCGTAAGTTGACGTTATACCCCCTTTATCAAGTCTGTCAGTAGAGCGTAAGTTGACGTTATACCCCCTTTATCAAGTCTGTCAGTAGAGCGTAAGTTGACGTTATACCCCCTTTATCAAGTCTGTCAGTAGAGCGTAAGTTGACGTTATATATATCTACAAGTCTGTCAGTAGAGCGTAAGTTGAGGTTATACCCCCTTTATTATTTTTTAGAGCGTAAGTACATATTTATTGCTTCCGTTTTAAAAGTCTCAAATTTAGCACTCATAATATTAATAAATCTCCAGAGTTGAAAAATACGTATTTTACGAATTTTATAAAATATCAAAAATACGTTAAATACGGCGTATTTTATTTTCGTTGAATAAAATACGTAATAAGTTTTATTGTACCATTGATAGCTCCAATAAAGTAATAAGTACTATTGCTTTATATAAATTTACGATTTTATCAAAACTCGCGTAACTCTGTCGTTTTTCACCTCGCATATGACTTCAGAGTACTGGGCACGTGCTATACCAAAGCATTAAAGCGTTGAAGTTAAATAGAAATGTGTCTGAAAAAAATGCAAACGAATGACATAACTTTAGTCTTTGAATGAAATTTCAAGAAAAACGTATTTTAACGTATTTTTGACGTATTTTATTTCTTAGCAAAAATACGCAAAATACGGCGTATTTAAAAAATTATCTCACGTATTTTTCAACTCTGTAAATCTCTCTCTCTCTCTTTCTCTCGGTTACGGTCAACGGTTTCTGGCCTCCTACGGTAAGTGGAAAGCCTTCTCGCCGTGCCCACAGAGTGCAATTCCTGCTAGCTACACGTCAGGACTCCCAAAGTATATACATAATCATAAACAAATAAATATCTACGCAGACCCCTTATTGAGTCTTGAAGCTGCCACTACAGCTTCAAGACTCAAGACTCAAGAAATTTATGATTGATAGGGATCCTAAGATATCATTAGTCCAGATACTTGCCATGTGTAACTCAAATATCGGGTGAGATTTTCTCGATGAACCTGAAGGAGGATTGTCTGTCCTTTATTTTTACCATGTTACATCGAGCTAAAACGTTGTTTCCAGATTTTTGCGTAATGCATTCCTTAAAAGTTTAATGTATGTCCTATTTGCATCCCCGAGGAGTTCCCATTGCATTGTTTTTTGTTCCTTGTCCGGTTAGCTTTGCGTCTCAGAACTAAAGAGTTCTGCTATGCTTTAGTGAGCTATGCTGTTCACCAGGGTACTGTAGTAACTGTAGATCTAAGAGTTCCCCGTGAATGGGACAGGCTGTGTTAAAGCTGCTCTGCAGGATGCCCGAGATGAACTGTTTTCGAGCGTTGAGATCTTCCGCTGTAGAAACTGAATAGAACCAGTAAGGTATCAATAAATCAACTACACATCCTTCTCTAAATAGAGAAATAACGGGTTTCTCGGGGTAAAAGTTTTACTTTTAGCTCTATTTATAACACTAATGTGGAAAAATTAGAAATTAGGGAACTGTGTTGTTGTGTACTGCTGTGTAAAAAATCAGTAGTTTCCGCAATCAGACAAGCGAATGAGTTCCAATAAAACCTTTACAACATTTGCAAAATATTTTCAGTCATCGTCAGTAAATACCTAATAAAGATAGGATTAGTATTTAGTACTCCAATAAATTATATTATCATTATTATTATAAATAAGGTTAAATAAGAACAACTCTAATTCACGAAAGGATGGAAAGCACTCGGGTGTGGGGGTAATTGTGAAGCCCCAGCCCCCAACTAGTAGCGAATAAGTCACTAAGTCACTACATAAAAGATGGGATAATTTAAGGACCATTATCGAAAGACTTATTTTCAAATAAGAGAGGCATACCAAAAAGATCACAAGAGTTAATACCATACGGTTTCAAAGTTCCAAGTTTTTATATAAGGAGGTGTTCGTTAACTTCTAATTACTAGTGCTAGAATATTTAAGTATAAAAACGTTATGATGCATCAAAATCAGATCTATTAGAAAGTGTATGTTGGTCTACAAGGTGTACTGCTAAACTACAAGTATCATTATCATCTTTAAGGAAATCATCGGTATACTTTAAGGAAGGGTCTTTTAATCTTACAATATATAAAGCGAGACGATATATACATATATATTATATATATACATTTCATTGCTGAACTTCTACACAATAAAAAAAGCGGTTTTGACTAGATCCTCGTAATTCTTTGCATCCTTTATTAACATCAATTCTGAGAAATTATATCATTAAAGCAACTATAACAAATACGAATCATATACAATTGAGAATATATACAAAATAAAAGAAGTGGGAAAATCTTCAGAACGGAAATTTAAAAAAGGAACTAAAAGATGTGAAAAAATAAACTCTTATCTTATCTCATATCTAAAAACTGATAACTGATTCTCAGAAAATCACTTAACTTCACAAAATAAACCTGTAAAATGTATACTAAAGTAAAAAATGTGTACACACGTCTCTGGAATAATGGTATAACTAAATAAAATCTACAAATACAAAAACTTAAACTAAGCTCCGGCAGACTTAAAAAGTATATGGTTACTATCAAGGGTGTTCATACCCCCAAACCGTTCAAGGGTTTTCAATTGGGTTTGGTAGAACCCCTCTCTAGCTTCCATAGCCTTTTCTTTGTCTGAATTACTAATATTTGGCTCAAATACTAAAGCGTCTACTATAATGACAGAAAGGTGCTTGCTAAGTGAGGAATTATAAGAGGCTATGGTACTAAAATCTAAACCATGATCAATATCTAAAAAATGGTTAACTAATTTACACCTTCTTATACCTTTCTTTATGTGACTCTTATGGTTAGAGAATCTCTTAGGGAGATTTGAGGTAGTATAACCGACATACGACTGTTTACAAGTCTTACACTCCATCAAATAAATGAGGTTATAACTCTGACAAGATATATACTTAGTAATAGGGAAAACTTGTTTAGAATGGTGAATTCTAAAATTGGAACAGGCCGGGACAGGAAATTTTGCTTACTAACATAGCTATTTCCACAAGCATAGTACCCTGGGTCGACAGCCCCGGAACCGCCGTTAGACTTTCTGGGTCTGGTTCCTGGATCTGACTTGCAGTTGTTTCTCTCTCATTATCACAGTTTATAGTTCCACTGGCACGATACTTATTGTGTACAAGCATGCCACTGATAGTTTGATTCTTTCGATGACTCACGAATACACTGTCCGCCCGTACCAGCTTCTTCAGGGCCGGATCGACGTTGAGAAGGTGCTTATACTTAACATATATATAATATATATATATAAACTATCGGTGGCATGCTTGTACACAATAAGTACCGTGCCAGTGGAACTTTAAACTGTGATAATGAGAGAGAAACAACTGCAAGCCAGATCCAGGAACCAGACTCCGAAAGTCTAAGGGCGGTTCCCGGGGCTGTCGACCCAGGGTGCCATGCTTGTGGTAAATGTTATGTTTGTAAGCAAAATTTCCTGTCCCCCTGTTCCAATTTTAGTAGTCACCATTCTAAACAAGTTTTCCCTATAACTAAGTATATATCTTGTCAGAGTTATAACCTCATTTATTTAATGGAGTGTAAGACTTGTAAACAGTCGTATGTCGGTTATACTACCTCAAATCTCCCTAAGAGATTCTCTAACCATAAGAGTCACATAAAGAAAGGTATAAGAAGTTGTAAATTAGTTAACCATTTTTTAGATATTGATCATGATTTAGATTTTAGTACCATAGCCTCCTATAATTCCTCACTTAGTAAGCACCTTTCTGTCATTATAGTAGACGCTTTAGTATTTGAGCCTAATATTAGTAAAGCAGACAAAGAAAAGGCTATGGAAGCTAGAGAGGGGTTCTACCAGACCCAATTGAAAACCCTTGAACGGTTTGGGGGTATGAACACCCTTGATAGTAACCATCTACTTTTTAAATCTGCCGGAGCTTAGTTTTAGTTTTAGTATATTTTGTAGATTTTATTTAGTTATACCATTATTCCAGAGACGTGCATATTACATTTTTTACTTAAGTATAAATTTTACAGGTTTTTGTTGTGATTTTAAGTGATTTTCCGAGAATCAGTTATCAGTATTTAGATAAGAGATAAGATAAGAGTACATTTTTAACGGCTTTCAGTTTCTTTTTTAAATTTCAGTTCATCAGATTTTCCCACTGCTTTTAGTTTGTATTTATTCTCAATTGTATATGATTCGTATTTGTTGTAGTTACTTTAATGATATAATTTCTCAGAATTGATGTAAATAAACGATGCAAAGACTTTCGAAGATCTAATCACAACCGCTTTCTTTTATTGTGTAGAAGTCCAGCCATGAAATATATATATATTACTCGAAAAATTGCAAGCTAGAAACTAGGACGTACTGCAAACCTAGTGATGCCCATAGCTATTTACTCCCACAATCCTGCCACCCTACACACATAGCAGAGAATATTCCATATGGAGTAGCACATCGAGTGTTCAAAAACTGTTCAGAGGAAGAAGAGTATTTGAAATGTAAAATTGAATTTAGTGAATATCTAGAAGATAGGAATTACAATAAAGATCTTATCCATAAATCCTTTGAGAAAGTTGAGTTACTTAAACGGGATGATCTGATTTCAAAAAACCTTACAAGCTCTAATAGTAAGAAGAGTGAAAGATGTTTTCCTTTAGTTTGTGATTTTGACCCTAACTTACCTCCAATTGGTAAAATAGTTAACAAGAATAAATTTATCCTTGGCCTAGACCCCCTTTTAAAGTCTGTGATCCAGCCTAGTAAAGTATTTGTTTCATATCGTGGTAATAAAACTATCAAAGAAACTTTAGTTCCGAGTAAACTTTCAGAAGATCGTAAGTATCATGAAGATAGTAATGTTATAGCTTTAAACTCTAACACTGAAAATGTGGCTCTGCCTACTAGTATAGAAGAGGGGGGATGTTATCATTGTAACTCCAGATGTAAAGCCTGTAGAATGTATATTTGTGAATCAAAAACAGCTCAGAGCTACCACTCGGGGTACACTGTTAACATCATTGGTCAACTAGACTGCAACACAGTAGGGGTGTGCTATCTAGTAAGGGATAAAGTCTGCAGACGTGCTTCAGTAGGAAGCACAGTTAACAATTTTAAGACCAGATGGCAGAACCACAAATCACATATTAGGAAAGCGGTTAGGAGTTGTGAAATTTCTTGTCATTTTAACGATAACCAGTTCCATAACCTTACCAAAGAGCCCTTAAAAACGTTTGACAATGAGTTATCCGATCAGATAGAGGTTATTATTTTTGAAAAGCTAGATTTTATAAAATGTTTAACCTTAGAAGATAGAAGTAGGGTTGCTAAAGAAAGAGAATCATTTTGGCAAAACCAGCTTATGACCCTCAGTGATTTTGGAGGACTTAATAAACGTAGTGCTCTTAATGAAATAAAAAATTGACCTTTATATGATATGCTTTAATATTAATCTTTCCACAGACACTTGCATTTTGATGTTTACTTTCACCTCTGCATCTTTTGTTTATATCTTATGATTGAATGAGACTTACTCACAAATTTCCCATCTCAGTATTGATCTATTTTTGTCATGTTTTTAATTTACTTCATAGAACAGTTATTTTAATAAACTTGCTTTCAGAATGAGACATGTAAAGATTACACAATCGATAGCTTAATGTGAATTTCGTGTTTTACTGTTTCACTGAATGTCTCAAATATATATATATATCCGTACCATTTTACTGACACCACGGCATCAACTTTAACACGACTTTCCGCAAAAAACCGTCAAAGATATACAACTTTAACTTTTTTGACTGGTTCAAATGCTTTAATGGCCTTCAAATCAGCATGAAAAATAAAACATTAGCCAAGGAATAAGAATTTTAGTGCTCAAAATTTGGACCCCCGAGTGCAGGTGTCAAAAATGCGAATTAAATAGGTAATAATTATTTTAGTCTCTTGAGTCTTGACACCACTTTAGGGCTAGACGGGTTCCTGCTAGTAATTTATAAAGATTTGTTCTATGTTACTCTTTTATCTTTTTATGGCGGGTTCTGACAGAACGACCAACATCAAAGAAAGGCGAAGGACAGTTTACAGATGAATTTATAAATTAGATTATAACTAGAACAAGTTCCTGGTGCTTGTTTGATTTTAACCCCATTGATATGATAAGGTTTCACTTCCAATCATAGCAAAACATTTGCAGTTCCTCTGGTGGCATGACTAAAGTGTTGTTTTCTGCATGTAGTTGGGGATTGAGAAGTCTTTTTCGCAAAGATGACCCAGATCTTTTCACATGACTAGTCTTTGTTAACATTGCTAGTCTTTGTTTCTGTTTTTGAGCTCCCGCCTTCGCCGAAGAGACATCAAAGATAAACAGACCAGGCGATCCCTGTGTTTTGGACGACCAAAGTGAATAATCATTTATTTTACAGAAATAAACTTATCCATGATCTGGTAGCGACATCAAATATCGAAATAGGTTTATTTTCCTATTAGATTATGAAAACACTTTTTCGATTGGTTGTCGAACAATTTCTCTCGCCTTGACAGCCTTGAAAGCCTATGAATGCAGACATACCATATCAGGCAAAATAGATCCAATTAGCCGCGCTCTTTAATTTTCCTGTGCAAATTCCAATTAATTTCAAAACGTAAAGTCATCAAAGATAATGAATTTATTGTCGATAATAAGTAAACCAATACTTTTATTTGCATGTCAGTACCAACTCCATGAAATTTTCTCGTCGTGAATTTAATGGCAGCCTTGTCTGTGCTTGGTAGTAAAACTAGCTTTTCTGATGAAGTCTTCTCTAATGACGCCCTAAATAGACAAAGATTGTTCGACAATGAGATGTCGGAAGAAGGGGTAACTTCTCATCAGAATAAGGGGAAGAGAAGTTCAAAGTTTGCATTTATCGTAGGTGCATCTAAACCTGACTCCAAGAGATTCACACGGCAACCCTCCAAATCAGGTTGCAATAAGAATACCTATTACTATTTCATTTGTGACTCTAAATGCTGGCGATATTTACAAAGTTAAAATCACATTAAAAAGTAAAACTAACTTTCTTAACTGGTCCACTAAATATGATATTACCATTATCACCCAAAATGTTTTTTACAGGTCAGGTTATTGTGCTGAATCATTACCCAGATATTAATCAGACATAACCTGTCCTCCCTGTAACATATCTAGCATTCTCCTCCCTCAGACTGTTTGTTTTCTTGAAAAATCTGTAGAAATTTAGAAATCTGACAATTACAGACAATTAATCTTTTTTAGGAAAAACTTGAAAACTGCTCCCTTGGCAATATCACAAGTCCAAGAAAATGTATATGTGAATTAACATATTATATATTTTGCGTTGAATTTGTCATCAACAGGTTGGATGATAAAATATTTCCTTGTCATTAGCCATTCAACTGATGAATGATGCCTGATTACATTATAAAGCCTGCATGTGTACAACTTTTTCATAAACACGTTTTGCACTTTTGTCAATACTCCTGTCTACTGGCACCAACGTAGCAAAAATAAAATAAACTGCTTGTAAGACTAGCATACATGACAACTTTAGATTGTACTGTACCTCGTGGAGCCTAGCCTGTAGTCTTTTGCAATTCGTATTTTTGTATTATGATAACAATAACTATGTTTATCAGTATGTGTATTATTTGTCGTTTTTGCGAGATTAACACTCAAACAAAGTGTCCAACAATGAGAACCTCCGTTTGTTAGCCAATCTGCCAAAATTCAGGATCTGAACGCGGGGTCTTTAAAAATATTTAAGCAGGTTGAGGCATATCACGTGTAGCTGCAGTCAGGCAGTCTGCACGTGTAGCTGCAGTCTGCACGTGTAGCTGCAGTCTGCACGTGTAGCTGCAGTCCTCACGTGTAGCTGTAGTCTGCACGTCTTAAACTTAATTTTAGTGTTTGTTTTTCAAGACACTAAAATTAAGTTTGAGATGTACAGGGAACATTATCTATTTGAAATATTATGGTGGAGGTACTAGTAGAGATGTAGATATTTAAACGCTATTCCATAAATGTTGAACTCCTGCGAGAACTGAGAAGACCTGCAAAAACAATTTTCTGCATTAACTTTGGTGCAATGGTGCAGCTCTTTCCGCGTAAATGTTAATAAACTTAAACAAGGCAGTGGAGCAACTATAGTGCCATTAACACAGTATTTTTACCACCACTTGGTTGTTTGATAAGTACTTTTTAATCCGGGAGTTCTAGTTGCTCGTAGCTAAAAGGGGCAATGAAGCGGTTAAAGGAGACTCTGAATCCAGACACTTCAATACCAGTACCCCGCATACCACCACCCTCCAGAGAGGGGTCCAGAACGTACAATTTAGACAGCTTCAAGAAGTCCTACGCCCAAGCACCACGATCAAGCAGAAGATGGTCCAATCTTACCAAGTCGGTATCACACCCAGGACAGCCCGGACTACCTCTTCCACAGCCCGGACTACCTCTTCCACAGCCCGGACTACCTCTTCCACAGCCCGGACAACCTCATCCACAGCCCGGACTACCTCTTCCACAGCCCGAACTACCTCTTCCACAGCCCGGACTACCTCATCTAGCTCACAATACCCGGCATAACCACCCTGCTAAACATTTCACCAGACTATCAGATAGTGATGATATAGACGATGAGGCTAACAACGCTGAAACAGACGAGCTGATGAGGATCTCTAAAAATGCTCAGATGCACTATCCAACCGATGCTATACTAGCAAGACACCATAATAATGGCAAGTCCCACTGTGATACTTGTTGTAAATGTCCAGCAGTGGTTGATTAACGGGATCATGGATTCTTCCAATCATGAATTAGAGACAATTTAATTTGCAATCATACATAGCGAATCTTTAGAGATAGAACTGTTGCCGCATCACGCTTTCTAAATCACCCTCTTGGTCATTTAGCTGATTATTCTTTTCTTGGACGAACCAAACTTTGAGCGACCCTAATTATGACAGTATGACTATAGCTGGGGCAAGATTTCGAGTTAATCTGTTAATACTTTAATAGGAATTTTAATTTCAGAGGCCAGTATTGGAGTGTGTGGACAGTTGTTGCTGTTATTCGCCTACTTGATCATCCTTCTCACCTTCCCCTTCTCTCTTCTCGTTTGCATCAAGGTATTGTTTTAAACTAATTACAACACTACGAATCTATTACATTTATTGAGGACGTTACAGAAGGAATGTATTTAATGTAGTTATTGAGGAGTCCTAACTCTCCTCACGTCCGTAAATGTAGTTTTCTTTGTATCATATATGTGTATATTGACAAGGATCGACCGGGCCCGCTTTTTTGGCCGGGCCCGGTACTAGAAAAAAGTGCCGGGACCGGGATTAATAGACAGGGACTCAGGGACCAGGATTAAGACCGGGACCGGGATTTAACCGGGATTGGGACCGGGATCTTAGCTAACAAAATGTTTATTTTAAATATTCTTTGATCTTATAATGTACTAGTGTAACCCGGCCTTCGGCCGGGATTTCACTGCCGCAGTTAAAAAGGGCAGGAGTATTTGTTTGTTTGTTTATAGAACCCGTCCCCAATCTATTATCGGAAAATGACTAAACTCAGTTCTGAGTGTGAATACGGGTGGTACCTGCAAGTGTGTCCATTAAGCATTTAGAGTTCTGTAAAACTGCAGTTACAATTGTGCTAGAGTATTTTTAGTATGTACGATCGATATCAGATCTCTATCCCTACAAGCTTCCAAAATTGTAAATCTCCAACTTTTTGCACAATGTACTGGAATGTTTGTAAAAAAAAGGTGTTATAACACTTTTTCTTAAACTAATTATAATGTAGACAATATATATTTTTTAGCTGATGACGTATGTACTGATGAATTAGTCCATTAGAAACACACACATTCCAGGGCTTTCAATCAAATTTCAATCATATAATTATGTACATGACTTGATATTTTTTTAAATTGGTCACCAGAACTACCGACACCGCCCGGGAAACAACAGCACCTAATATGAAACATGGTTCAGTTATAAAACCAAACGTGTCATGTCCCCTCCCCCTCCCCTGTAAATTCTATATAAATCTACTGCTTTTGATTATATGTTTTATGATCGTGTCCAATTTATTGTAAACAATGTGTTTTTACCATGTTTGCTATCATATTTTATGTATCAGTACTATTCTCTAATTCTCTTGAGAACAGTAAAGTACCAGAACTATTCCCTGAGGACAGTAAAGTACCAGATCTATTCCCTGAGGACAATAAAGTACCAGGACTATTCACTTGAGGACAATATTAGAGTACCGGTAATCTCCTTGAACAGATCCGGTATTCTAATCAGGATCAGAGAAAATTATTCGAACACAATTTTTGATACAATGGTCATGACATCATTTTACAATCGCTCAAAGAGAGGACAATATGTTCAACAATAATACATTTAATAACAAACCACTAAAATTACATAGGAATGATAAGCAAACTTATCACGCTGATAAAATAATAGGTAAAAATAAAACCCAAAACTCATTGTCTAAACTCGTATACTATTGTCTTTCAGCTGTTAAGCAATCCGTGGTTTCTAACAGTTCGGTCATCTAAGATCCGGGGCACTGGCAGGCGAATGGTCGCTTCCTCTGCGTGCTATCATGGAAGGAGTCATCGAACTCTCCCCATCTGGAGATGGCTAGAGCATGTTGTCCGTTAGAATCGCTAAGGTACTCGGCGTTATCCTTTCCTGCCTTTGTTCTCCATGGAACGTTCCAATCCTCAACCACCTCTCCATCCAACCACTTCCATATTCCTTCCTCGTTCGAGTCACTTCCTCCGAGCCAGATCCAGTTGTTATTATTCCAGGTCTTCCAGGCGGGGTCCACTGCTCCCAAGAAGTAATCCATGGCGTTCTTCATCTCTTCAACCTCTCCCACGCTTCGAACCTTGGCAAGATTAAGTCCAGCAGCAGAGCAAGCTGCTTTAGCAGACTCCCAAGTCTTAGGTTCGCCAGAAAGGATGTATTTACCCTTGTAGTCACAGGCGTAAGGATGTAACTTGAACTTGTAGGTGTCGTCCCACTGTCCGTGGTGGTTGATCCTCATTTGGTTCTGGAGACACTGTGGCTCATCACAACCTTTCTTACCTTGCTTGAGGGCGTTTTGATCAGGCTGGTTTTTCATCCACTTTTTGAAATCGTTTGGGTTTGACTTATCGGCCCAATTCCAATCTGCTCCGTTGTAAGGTGGAGGTTTCTTCGAGTAACCGTTATTCTTTACTTTTCTGAGACCAGCCCAGACCCATTTTGTGTTGGTCCACTTGCTAGCTGGCTGTTGTTTTTCTGGATAGGCCAATTCCAAGAGGATTCCGAGATCCTGGTTCTTTTCTTCGTCATTTATTGTAACCAAATTTCCCTCTTCTCCTACTCCCGAGCCAATATCGAAGTTCTTGCACCTATTGTCGGCTTCATCGTAGTTAACCATTTCAGAGAACAGTACTATGTTGCAAGTGGCGAAGATTCCATCTCCAAGTCCCTTCAGCAGTTTCTTGAGACCCCTGATCTGGGTCATGCTGATAGCACGTTCGATCCCATTAGAGAGTCCCACTGCTAGTACAAGCAGCACTAGAATGTTCTTAATCATCCTCAAACTAGAGTTAAACGATATGTGACAAGTAAGCTACTGAGCTTGTAAGGTAGTGAGGTGTTAACTGTTAAGTTGGAGCGCTCGTTTGCGTCCTCCGCATCAAGATCAGTCTCTTGATTCTGGTACTCTGGGTCACGTGCTTCGAATATCTTCTTGTGATTGGCTTTGTGTCACGTGGTTCAAATACTGCGTTCTGATTGGGTGATAGAGGTTGTGCTTGATAATATCTCACAGAGGACAGTGGGGTTAATGGGGTGTTTGTGACCACATGGCCAACTCTCTCTGTACACTAACTTTATCGTTAAAGCTATTGTTTATAAAGTGTACATCAAATTGTTTGCAATAACTGGCTGAAAAATAAACCTGAGCTAATTATTTGTCTTCAAGAAACACACTCAACTCTTCCTTACAAGCACAATTGCACAGCTCACCCAACAAACTGGCATTTAACTCTGACACTGTTTTGTTGGTTAATTGGCATAGAATTTCCGGTCCCGGCCGATTTCTGACCGGGACCGGGATTAAGCCGGGATCCCGGTCAATACAGTATAATATATAACACACATAACCCCGGCATGCGCAGGGATTATATTTCAATTTTTCCCGCGACGCGCGGGAAAAATTTATAATAATTTCGAGTGCGAAGCACGAGGGATTATTATGAAAATAACCCCGACGTGCTTTAGCACGAGGGGTTATTTTAATATAACTTAAGCGTGCCGGTGTTATGTGTTATAAACCCCTCCGGGTTAGTGCTAGGACCAACAAATTTGACATTTTACTCTTAATTCTAGCTATATGAGATCATTATGAAAAAATATGAAATGGAATTGGGGACTACCAAATAAATACAACTAAGGTACTATGACTTTTGAAATTGGCGTTATATCTAAACATTATTCCTCAGTCAGAACGTTGAATGAATATGAATATCGATAAGGGGCGTCGAGTTAAGCCTGGCAAGCGATAAAAGCTAATAATGATATCGTGTCATGAAGTTCATCAAAGTAGACGACTATAATACATGGCTTATATCAAACACGACAAAATTAACCGAACCGGACAAAATCAAATGTAACCGTCGAGACAAGTTTTGGAACTGGTCCAATTAATGTAAGAGTTTAAGTAATGTAAGCAGTGTGCTGGAGTTTTGCCAGCGCCTGCAATTAGACCGATACGTAGATCGAGTGTATTTATAGTTCTTACGTTAAGCCATAGGTCACGTGACATATTTTACCAATGCGCGTCGTAGTAGTTAGTCACGTGATACACGTCATCAAAACACGTGACAGTGCGCGGTTGAAATTCTCATGGAATATCAAAACAAAACAAATCTTGTTGAGCCAAATTAGCGGGGCGGGATTATAAAAGCTGTGCCGGGGTTATTTATTCAGCGGGAAAAAACTAACAGCGGGAGCCGGGATTATCAGAATCTATTTAGCGGGAGCCGAGATTATCAGAATCTTATTCTATCCCGGAGGGGTTTATATATATATATGAGTATATGCAAATAGAAACGACCGGTTGAGTCAAACAATTGTTTCAATCATGCAAAATCATGATATCATCATTCATCAGTGACCAGCTTGCCGATTGAGCACTGTCAGCAGACGACGGCGCGACGCCACCCACAATTAATAATTGAGTACATGTATGAATATAGGAGAAATTTGTTCTCCCTTTGAATCAATCAAACTAGATAATTTGTTGTATTAGTGACTTTAAATATATAATCAAGAGTACTAGCCTGCTGATTTATCGCGGCTGTTCTCATCTGAAACTATGCTTGGTGTAGCTTGTTGGGATAGTATAGGAATTCTAGTTCCTATAGTTGGGAATGAGGTAGTTGTCTGTTCACAGATCGCCCTCTAAAAAACTTACAAGGAAATATTTCCTGTAGATCCTTGGTATATATCAGTGTTTATCCCCAAAGGTTTTAAAGTCTTGAGCAGTTGCATATATTTATGTTCACGGACTTCCAAAGTTTTAGGACTATAACTATAAATAATTGACACATAACAAATTTTGTTAAAATCCTCTCTTTGTCTAAAACCATGATCCAACAAGTGTAAGCCCAAACTATATTATTATTCATCACTTGTTTCGTCTACCTTATCACCACTTAAAAGTTTATAATTTTTTAACCTATGTTCTCCAGTCCTAACCCGTAGAGAGCGAGTAGTGCGACACTACATTGGAATATGATTATATATACTTATATATATATATATGAGTATAATATATAATATGTGCCTTTTCGGTAATTTAAGTTGCGATCAGTTAAGAATGGATTTCCTTCATCAACCATGACAGTGAACTTCATATTTTTCAGGTAATACAAGAGTACGAGAGAGCGGTTATTTTCAGACTGGGAAGGATAGCTAAAGGCGGTGCTAGAGGACCAGGTAAGCTTGATTTTTACAACGTTCAATTACTGCTAGAGACCACCAGGTAAGCTCGCTCTTTATAACGTTCACAATCTTAAAAATATATGGTTTAAATATTTGGTATTTTTGTCCTTTAGTCAATGTCTCAACGTTAGGTCTGTGTTTCTACCTACCATGTTTGGACGAGGTGACCGTTGTTGACATGAGGACTTTATCCTTTGCTGTACCACCCCAAGAGGTACTTACTCCGCATGCAATACGAACAGTAATCTCGTTCAGCCGACGAATTCCAGGGACGGGTTCTTCCCGCCGTCGATTTAGCATGTTTTAGTTTTACGCTGTTATTTCTTTCTAGGCATCTGTTTTCACTTTCCGTGCATGGATGAAGTTTACATTGTCGACATGAGGACTATTTCATTCGATGTTCCTCCCCAAGAGGTTTGTATTGCTGAATCTACAGTTATCAAACATTTTCCTGTATAATTTAATAAAGTGCATCAATTGCAATTTTCTGTTGGGCTTCTTTCAATAATTGGAAATTTCTTTGCATGATAAGCTTTCCCTTCTTTTCGTGTAAAAATCGTACAAATCTTATTTTTTCTAAATAAATAACCAGTGGTGAAACAACCGCCTCCCCACCACCCCGCTAGACACCTTTTTCCGAAGTGTAGGTATTTTTTTAAACGTAAAATTTTTGCATCCCGTCCACTTTAACGTTCAGTCAAAAATATTTGGGGTACAAAATGCTCCTAGGGGGGTGACAGCGGCGGCATATAGGTACGTTTCACCACTGTAACTAACAGATGTTTGTAGCTTAAAATTAATTTCCTTTCCCAAGATTCTTACCAAAGACTCGGTGACAGTGTCTGTGGATGCAGTAGTGTACTTCAGAATCAGTTCAGCTGTAGCTAGCGTCTGCAATGTCGAGGGCGTCCAAAAGAGTACCAGGTATCAATTTAATGTAATTAATTAATTAATTACCTTCTTTATAGTAACATGAGCCAAATTTGACCTAACAAATTAGGGCCAATTATTCATTTTCCCAGACTATTAGCACAGAGCATAAGATAATTATTTATTTTCCCAGACTATTAGCACAGAGGATAAAATAATTATTTTTTCCCAATTATTAGCACAGAGGATAAAATAATTATTTTTTCCCAATTATTAGCACAGAGGATAAGATAATTATTTATTTTCCCAGAGTATGAGCACAGAGGATAAAATAATTATTTTTTCCCAATTATTAGCACAGAGGATAAGATAATTATTTATTTTCCCAATTATTAGCACAGAGCATAAGATAATTATTTATTTTCCCACAGTATTAGCACAGAGCATAAGATAATTATTTCTTTTCCCAGACTATTAGCACAGAGGATAAAATAATTATTTTTTCCCAATTATTAGCACAGAGGATAAGATGATTATTTTTTTTCCCAGACTATTAGCACAGAGGATAAGATAATTATTTCTTTTCCCAGACTATTAGCACAGACGACGTTGCGAAACATTCTCGGTACGAAGAGTCTGAGTGACCTGTTGGCAGAAAGAGAGTCTATAAGTCATGATATGCAGGTAAATAAATTACCCTTTGCTTTCTAAATTCCTCCGGGATACTGCTAAGGTAGAAGGGACGGGATAGAAAAAAATAAGGGGCAGCCTTATTTTAATCAACTCCGCTTTGTTTCCAACTTGGTAAATAATCCCTATTCATATTCCGTTCGCTGGTCTAATATGTCACGTGTGCTGATGACGCGTATCATATGACTTACTACTGCGACGGCCTTGTACCCTTGTGCCAGTCAAGAATCCTCTCCTTCTGTTCTAGGAATGCCAATCTAACTAAGGAATGCTTTATAAGTCGGCTCATGTATATTTCATGGTTAATTTGATATGACTTATAACTTTACGCAAGAAATATGGATCCACTTGACACGTACCAGAGTCTCTGCATCTCTGGTCAAGATCAAGAGATGCAGGCGTTGGTAAAGTTCCAATACACCGCTTATTATTGAGTTTCTTGGACCTGTTCCAGAGCCTGTTTTGATTTTTAAACTTTAAAGTTGTTCTGCAGATTTTGTTGTTGAGCCGCGCGCGTGTTTGTATCACGTTGCGACCCCCACGGTCGTTTCACTACGAGCGCGGTGGGTCATACAACGTATGACAAGCGCGTGTAATTAAAATTATATCTAAACTACTATCATCATTCTACAACTGATAACTTAATAAGTTATGTGCAATCCGCAAACCTCATGTATTCTAGAAGTCAGTTCTGTTAGGCCGCCTTTATATTATCTGTGGGGTACTCAGTCACCTTATCTCGTAATCTTATTATGTCCAATATTAGGTCCTGTTGTGATATCGTTATTCAAATTAGTTTCACCAGGATCTGGTAGTACTCATCATACTGCAGTGTCTACGTATTGTCATATCGCACAACTCCTTAAAAAAATATGTCATGACGTGACTCGGACATTTATTGGGTTGACGAGGTGTCATAAAAGGGTTACAAAATACAAAAGTCACAAAAGTTACAAATTAGAATTTTTGAGTTACAATCGCAATTGTCAAAAAATAATCATAGTCATATTTATTTCATCATTTATTGTGATTTAATTAACAATCATTAATAACCAACTTTATATAAATTGAATGATTAATTGATTGAATCTCATTACTAACTAGCACTCATTGGACCAAGCCACAGACCCTTGGGGTGTTGTAGTAGAGCGTGTTGAGATGTGAGTTATCACCATTGTACTATCAGTGTCATTATACTGGCTTTTATTCATGTTAGTAAACTTTGAAAACTGGGGTGTAGGCCACGGGGCGTAGGCCACATTTCTTGGGAAAATCTGTTGTTCATCTCTTGAGTCTAATTGATGGGGGGGGGGGGGGGGGGGGGGGGGGGGGGGGGCCGCACTTTATGCGGTGCAAACAAATTTGACCGGCGTATCCTCTAAAATAACCTAATTTTTCCAATTTTACCTTTTATTATTTTACCTATACGACGCATTTGGCCGATGAACCCATTTATAAAGGTCTGTTTAATGCCAGGCAGATATTGTATTAAAGTATTAAACAACCTGAACAATTAGCGATCAGTTTCGAACGAAAAGCTATGTTATTGGCTGCAAACTGTTCGTTACATTTTTAATCGTTATGCAGCCCCTCATTTGCAGATGGCAGTGGAGAGAGTAGATAAACAAAACATTTCATTAATCGCGAAGCAGAAAACTGTCATTGATTTGCAGAATAAGCTTATTAAAATTAGAAGGACGAAGAACTCAAGTCAGTCCAAACAACAGTGCAGACAGATAAAATCATATTCTTTTGCCCTAAAAAAGACTTGTGCAGACTGCAGCTGCTCCTAATCTTACGCAAAAGAAGATCTGTACTGCAGTTAAGACAATAGCTGAAAAGGACGAAAGAAGCAGGACGATGATCAGTTAGAAAACAAAGTTGCTGAATTTCTTGGTGAGATAAATGAGAAAACTTCATTACGTGACTGTTGTAGAGTTGGTCTGATAAGAGAGCCGACACATCACGACCTACTAATCTATCTCTGAATAGCTCTGATATGGCAGCTCAGGCGCTGAGAAAAGCTAAACTTCTACGCACAAAAGAGGGCTATAAAAGTATTTGAAAGAGAAGTGGAAAGCAGAGCCTAACAAAGTTCATTTCATAAGGAACAATAAGATAAAGATAGTCAGCTCTGATAAGAACAGTTTATCAGCCACGTCTGACGAAATTTGAACTTTTCATATTCTTCACCATACGATAATTTTTTACACTTTCGTTTCACAATGTTGTTTCACATATTGGTTTTCATATCGGGGCCATGTAATTGCGGGCGCATTTTACTATGCCGTACCGTGTTTGGTCTCCCGTCAGATTTTACAGACGGGGGTAATATCTTATTCGATTATAATTTATATTTTATACGTTATAGTTGCTGTACTCTGTAAAGTTTGAAAAGTATTTGATAAAAAGAGGGGAGGGGATGCCGAAAGGGGGGCGCCAACATGCAACGTTACACCACTGGATGTTAATCTCAAAACATCGATGAGAGATAACAGATCGGGCTCAAATGAGTGGCAAAATGCTATTTATGAGAATTGTATCTTTGTCTTTTTTATGTTGATTGTTGGATTTGGGCTCATTGGCACCATTCAGAAACAAGCAGCCAAATAAGCAGCCAAATAAGCAGCCAAATAAGCAGCCAAATAAGCAGCCAAATAAGCAGCCAAATAAGCAGCCAAATAAGCGTTATAAAGTCGACAACAAATGGTTGATGTCTAATCTAAAAGAAGACTAAGTTATTGCTGAGCCTTATTTCCGATTTTGCTTCGAGATTGTGAGTATCAGTAATATCATAGTCACCAGGTGGAAAATTATAACAACAAACTGGTTACGGACAATAACATTATTATAGTGACGGTAAACCCAACAAACCGTTATAGTAAAAAACAATAAGCATTGATATAAAATTAAAATATAGAACCACCTGGGAACTTATTTGCCACAAATATTTCTGTGCAGGAATGTGTTGTCGATATTCTCAGGAATTATCCCAAAGTGTTGTAAATGTAGATCTGCAGGTGGGCACATCTAGCTAGAGTATAATATTTTCTCCACTAAGAACAAACTTTAAAAATTTGTTTCTGCCATTAAAAAAGCACTCAGTAGCTTAATAGGAGGTGCAAAGGGACCACAATGCTCAGATTATGGCAGGTGAATAAGAGAATAAAGGTTTAAAAGTGCTCAAACCTTCGCGAATCGAGATATCTTAATTTTTGGATTTTAAACTAAATTGATCACTAAACTTTTACCGAGATTGTCGACTAAATTGTTAACTAGACTATTAACTTATTAACTAGATTGTTAACTAAATTGTTAACTAAAACTTTTAAGAGCACGTTAGATTTGGCGACAGCACCATGGGGAGTGGTTGTAGAGCGGGTGGAGATGTGAGTTTAGTTTGTGTGCTGGGCATATCACGCTCCATGCTGTCAAACTACTTTATCATGGTTTTCATGAGTCAATATTAGCTCAAACTGTTACTGCGTGATTTGGAGTAAGCTTTGGATTTAACTATTAAATTAAAACTGCTGTTTTGGCTGGTTGTGATATTAGATACTGGCCAATATGCTCATTTCCCATGTTTTTCCCCAACAAAAGCATGTTTATTCAAGTGTGGGTATTCCGTTTTACATTAGGCATTAAGTTAATCTATGTGGACTTATCGGGATTTTTATTGCGAACCATTAAAAGTTTTATAACAGTTATGGTCTAAACTGTAGACTGATCTACAGTGTTCACTCAAGTAGCTCACTTTAACAAACTGGTAGTCTACAGTGTTCACTCAAGTAGCTCACTTTAACAAACTGTTAGTCTACATTGTTCACTCAAGTAGCTCACTTTAACAAACTGGTAGTCTACAGTGTTCACTCAAGTAGCTTACTTTAACTCCCCAGCAAAGACGTGAGGCTGCCGACTAATTTACAACGTGCAATGGCAGCAGAAGCGGAAGCCTTTAGAGAGGCTAAAGCTAAGGTTAGTCTTGTAAACCGATCTTAGTAAACTAACTAGCATAACTATACGTGGTCTACGTGGCGAGATAGTGGGCGTTCCTAACTATGACAGTCTACTTGACCCTAATAAATTGAACCTAATCCTACTTTATTACATATAAGTAAAATAACAAATTTAGCAGTCACAACCGTATTAAGAGAAACCGTGCTATTAAGTATTAACTAGCAGTTATATGCTATAACAGTGCCTTGTAATTAGTAATAGTGATAAATCATTACCTCGTCTGTAATTAGTAATAGTGATAAATCATTACCTCGTCTGTAATTAGTAATAGTGATAAATCAGTACCTCGTCTGTAATTAGTAATAGTGATAAATCAGTACCTCGTCTGTAATTAGTAATAGTGATAAATCATTACCTCGTCTGTAATTAGTAATAGTGATAAATCATTACCTCGTCTGTAATTAGTAATAGTGATAAATCAGTACCTCGTCTGTAATTAGTAATAGTGATAAATCATTACCTCGTCTGTAATTAGTAATAGTGATAAATCAGTACCTCGTCTGTAATTAGTAATAGTGATAAATCATTACCTCGTATGTAATTAGTAATAGTGATAAATCAGTACCTCGTCTGTAATTAGTAATAGTTATAAATCATTACCTCGTCTGTAATTAGTAAAAGTGATAAATCATTACCTCGTCTGTAATTAGTAATAGTGATAAATCAGTACCTCGTCTGTAATTAGTAATAGTGATAAATCATTACCTCGTCTGTAATTAGTAATAGTGATAAATCATTACCTCGTCTGTAATTAGTAATAGTGATAAATCATTACCTCGTCTGTAATTAGTAATAGTGATAAATCATTACCTCGTCTGTAATTAGTAATAGTGATAAATCAGTACCTCGTCTGTAATTAGTAATAGTGATAAATCAGTACCTCGTCTGTAATGAGTAATAGTGATAAATCAGTACCTCGTCTATAATTAGTAATAGTGATAAATCAGTACCTCGTCTGTAATTAGTAATAGTGATAAATCAGTACCTGATCGTCTTTATATAGTAATTAGTAATAGTGATAAAATTGTTCATATCTAATCCATGAAAATGCAGGAAATAGCAGCGAATGGGGAAAGAAATGCGGCGCATGCTTTGAGAGACGCTTCAGACACTATGATGCAGTCACCTTGTGCAATCCAGCTCAGATACCTCCAGGTCTTATAATTATTATACAACTCATAACAACAATATTAGAATATTGCCCGTTTTTTCGATGGAGGTGGACGCTAGATTTCGATCCACTGCATAATCTGACCAGTTTACGTTAAAACATTATCATGGTCCGAGGACTGAGGACGCTTATGATTTACATAATGTTAAAATGATTTTATGATTATAATACGATGATATTTTGTATCTTAAATCTGCTGAAATGTGTCAAATATTAGCCTGATTCACTATAATAGTATGGCTGATTGCTTTATTTTGATTTTTAATCCACTTTATCAAATTATTTACCAAAACGTTTTAACAATTCTGAACGACTATATCCGCAGACGTTAACGACAATTGCATCAGAACAGAATTCAACTATAGTGTTTCCTGTACCCGTCGACTTAATGGGGACCATCCTCGCCAAACCAAAGCCAAAACAGCAAAATAGAGACGTTCGAGCTGACCCTCTGACTGAAACAGGAGCTATATTGGAGTAAACAATTATTACGCTTTCAGTAGCTCAGTGGCAGAGTCCGGTAGCGGGTAGCGGTTGCGTCCACCAATCCTTAGTGCCACAATTGTAACAAACTATAGGATAGTATTTGCTGAGTGCTGACAACTGTTAGTTGCAGAAACCAGTTTCACGAAAATCAATGTGAATTTGTTATCTTGGAATACGGTTTGATCAATATTAGAGGTTATAACACTTACCAACCAGCTCGGTAGAATTTCTAATTGTTTGGAGTTCTCGATTGTTTGTTGGTAAGCAGTAAACAATTTGGAAAACTCTGTTATATACGATACGATAAACGATGTTTTGCATTTACGAAGAAGTCCATTTATTTTTCATCACGTGTTAGAGTATATGTTGTATGTTATAATATGGGAAGATGATATTTGGACACGTTCATTGAAGTGAATTTTGTCACATTTCGGTAACTTATCAAAATTATTATTAACCTCAACATTATCAAACTTGAGCTCTGATTTGCTGAATAATAACCTACCAATAATTTCTGAAAAAAACATCGAATTCTAATCAAGGTATGGTTCTCATTCACGATATCGTATCATTTATTTACTATATTTTAGACCAAGGAATGCTAAGTGGGCAGCTATAGTTAAAATGTGACATTTTAACCATTATAGTGCCTAACATCAATCAATTTTTTTCTGAACAGTGCATATGGGAGTATGGGTCACGTGGCTAATGTTCAGAACTTCTGAACATGCTATATTAATATATACTAAAATTAAGCCACTATCGTCGAAAACGCTATTTTTTTGTATAGAAATATCCCCAAACTTCAATGAACGTGTCCATATATAGTTAGAACAATGTAAGATGTGTTATATCTAATCATAGTGTTGCTGTCATAATAAGGTGTAGTGTGGTGATACTCATAAGTTCAAATTCCAAGAAAAAAGAAGTAAGATTAGAGTATCATCAATATTAACGCAGAAATATCTTTTCTCAAGGCAGGGAACTTCCAGAAAAAATCTTAAATATTTTCTTTAATCTTAAATATTTTTAAAATTCTCAATATGTTTCAAAATAGGGATCAAGTTTAATTTTTTGGCAATTTTCGGCAGCCTTAAATTTCCTCTTTTGAACATCCAGGTCCAGTCTGGCAAAATCCGGCAAACCGGAAAAGATATCGATATCCGGCCGTTTCTGGTCCGGCAGACAAAACTTTAGACCGGTTGGTTCATAATCTGTCACAGCACATTTACCGTCGATTCAACATATCCATCCACGTGTTTTATTGTACGTGAATTTAGATTTTGTCATTGGAGGTCTGTCATTACCTAGTTTGGTTGATTGACATGTTTTGATAGTGATTGATACATTTCGTATGCTGTATGGAAAGCTGACGGATCACCTGCCTCCATACATATGGCTAGACGTAAACGTTCCTTTGTGAGCCTTCAACTAAATGGATTTATCTTGTCAACGAGGCTGTCAGACTTAATCTATTTTAATGATAATGTGATGGTTTGGTTGGATCTCCTCGAGTGTTTCCAGACTCTAATAGGCTAGCTGTCGGAGACAAAGTTCCCGACAGAGATGTCTGATGTACAGTGTTGAAGCGTGGGTAAAGAAGAGAGACCATGTGATATATATTTATATAATATATATATATATATATGTATATATACCACTGTATGTGATAGGTTTCATTATTTGACTTGCCGTTTATTTAAAGCCGCAACTTCCCTGGATTTTTATTTTCGAAATTTTCGATATTCAGTTCAATTTGTTTTGAAGTTATAATTATTTAATTTAAAAAATACGCGAGAATTCAAAAAAAAGTTTTATCGGTACATTTTTACTGACAATGGCTACTTAATCCAACGGAAGATATTGATGCTATTAATTATAACACAAATAGCGCGATGCTCTCATGGGCCATGGCTGAATGAGTGAAGATGACCACGTTAGCTTGTAATAGTGGTACGTTAGTGGTTGCTTAGCAACATATTGTCTTGACGATCAAATTAATTGTCACTATTGGACCTAGCCTGGCCGTAAACTCAATGGTCGGCTCACCTTTTTACAAATATAAACCACCATCTTCATTAATTTAAACTATCATCACTTTCACAAAATAACGGTACTGACCATCGTGTTGACTAAGATTAGGATTGTATGCGAACATAGAATAAATAGTAAAATTTAAAAATTTATTACCCATTTCGGCTTCCTCTCATTCTTGCTTAGAGAAAGCTAAAATGAGTACTAAGTAGCTGAGAACTCAACTCGAGAGGTCAAAGCTGCAAAAACGACAATTTAAAGTGTTTTTTCGTTTTTCTTATATTTACAATAACTCAGAATTGTCTCTGGTAAGTGACTACTTGCAAATCGTGTGTCCAAATTAATGTTACACGAATGATGGTATTATTATTATTAATAATATTGTTTGTTAACGGTACTCACATTCATTAAACACACATTTGATAAACCAAACAGTTCAGCAAGACTTCATTAATTAGACCTACTGTACTAAGATATTCCACGATATTATAGCAAACCTTTTTCTGCTGATCATCTAGAACTTCTAGTTGCGCCATGACAACTCAACACAATCCCATTACACTTTACGATCAATAAAATGCAATGGCGAAGGTCTTAGTTGTAAATAGACAAGGCAACTCATTTTGCCTAGGTAGTAATAACTTAACAAGCGCACCATATTAATCCCCACATTTATTGCATTGGTTTTATCGGCCCTCCAGGTTGATATGATTATGATAAATAGATCAGTTCACGGTTGTCTGTTTTCAAACCTGTCCCTTCTCCCTTGAAAGTAAATTGTTGTTAAAGTAAGTCATTTAAAAAATAAGTATAACCCATCATTGAGATTAACTTGGCAAAGGTTAGTTTTCCTGGAGGTGAATCTAGAAGTTGCTATATGTGTTTCTTAATACTTTACAAAGAAGTAAGAGAACATAGGCGGAGGATTGTAGTAACTTATAGATTCGTCAGGGTAGGCATTAATTGAATGAGAATTAGCGGGATGACCCAGTTAACAGTTTATCAAATACATTTTATGTCGATTTCCCGGAATTAGATAGACCCGCTAGCAATAACCTAGCAGCATCTGATAGAGACTTTGATTTTGAAACCATATATTGAAATTTATGCCACGTCTGACGTAATTTTATTATCATCAAAAGCATAGGACCATGATAGGTACTCAATACTGATTTGGTTGATGTGTGTGTGTGTGTGTGTGTGTGTGTGTGTGTGTGTGTGTGTGTGTGTGTGTGTGTGTGTGTGTGTGTGTGTGTGTGTGTGTGTGTGTGTGTGTGTGTGTGTGTGTGTGTGTGTGTGTGTGTGTGTGTGTGTGTGTGTGTGTGTGTGTGTGTGTGTGTGTGTGTGTGTGTCCCGGGGCACTGTGTGCGTGTCACGTGTCCCGGGGCGCTGTGTGTGTCACGTGTCCCGGGGCGCTGTGTGTGTCATGTGTCCCGAGGCACTGTGTGCGTGTCACATGTCACGTATCTTCGTGAATACAGATTAGGTAATGAGTAACATTTAACTGAAAACTGTGGTATCACTTTTCCGCAATTTGTAATTTTATCCTGTGATCCGGAACCAAATCCACGTGACTACTGACGCTAGCACTTATCAGCTAGCTATGCGTCCTGATTAGTGATTGGATAGCGCAAATATCACGTCACATATAGCGTCATATTATGGAACACGGGGCTTATAATAAGTCATAGGATATGCGTCCTTGAAGCATCAGGTATAACGTTACTCATACTGCCCTATATAAGATATATTTTTTATAATATCTTTGAGTTTATTTCTACTCTCATATCACTATCAGATTGTACAAGCAATGAACTTGCTGAGTGGCTCATTGACCATTTCCCAAGAATAGCTCTAATTGTTCCATAATCCAGCTATTATAGTTATAGTGTAATTTACTAAGTAATATTACAATTTTCATTTTATAATTCATCGAAATGTCCTCACGCACAGACCGCGGTTTGGATATTTCATAGTCGGACCGCGGTCAGACCGCCGCCACCGACAAATTTTGGCGTACATAACGCCGCCGCATAAAAGTAACACGGTGCACATCTCTGCCAATGTACGAAGATCCGTGTTTAAAATTGTATTTCGTTGATGTAGTTTTATATTGCACGTCAAACGCAGGCATTAGTTTCATAACCACTATCAACTTCAGGTGATGAATGTGCGCGTGAATTTGTTGTTCTTTGGTTCCTCCTATCTGATGGTGGCAGCTGTAGCTTTTTTGGGGAACCTTTATAGTATCAGAAAAATTTACACCATGTTAAAGGTGAAATGTTATTTAATCAACTATGATATTACACAATTTCACTATTACGAAAACATTTATAAAGTCATGTTAATATGACATACATTCCTTTCCAATAATATTATTAGTAGCGTGATCTAGTTTAAAGCAATATAAGTAGGGAGTGCTCACTGCTAGACTGCTAGTCTGCTAGTATTATCATCCACGTTCGGGAGCTTCTCTTGAAACCTCCCTCCTATGATTTCCTACTCTGTAAGGCATCTCAGATTGCTTGAAGGTCAGATTCTTTAGAGCATGCGTAGAACCTGTCTTGCTTTATGGTCCTGGAACATGGACACTAAAGAAAGAGTTCGAGAAGAGGCTAGACGGATGTTACACCAGACTTTTTATGAAGGCAAAGAAGATCTCCTGGAAGAAGTACCGTACCCTACGGTCCCTACTTCATATCACTTATATTCTCGCAAAACGTAGAGCTCGTTTACGTGTGTATAAATAATTTGTGAATGGTACTACTCTCACAATTTTAACAATTTTTTAGTATCTTCAAATGATCACGTGACCACACAACTTGACTGCTGACAGGGCAAGAAGCTCAGCAGGAAAGCTGCAGATAAGATTACAATTACAGTTACATCTCACCAGATATTCAGTAACATTAATGCCTAAGATAACTTTGCGATCGAAAAGCTCCCGAACGTGGATATATTAATATTTTAATAATAATATAGTATAAATATATAGTATATAAACCTTATCCTTTTTGCACGCCGGAATGTATAAATATACAGCTACTCGGGCTTTCCGTACTGCATATCTTTATTCACCCGGCGGACTAAAGCCCTTGTGTGGATATTTCATGCATTTTAGAGTGCTGTATGGAGAAGCATATTTATCTTACTACTATTTTGATACATAGTTTAAATCGTGATAAAAATTTACAGCTCGCAAAAAGAAAAGACAAATCTGCATTGAGAAGAACGAATCTGTACCTGATCTTACACATGAGCTTTAGCGACTTGCTATCTGGAATTCTTGCTACACCCTTTACTGGACTGACCCTTCTTTTTCAGGTTCTTTTTCAGGTTCTGATCGAACATTTAAAAAACTATCTGACAGTAAATCTGAACTTTGAATGACCTTATATTTAAATTTTAAAAATATTGAGAAAATCAGCAATGGTAGAGGAAAAATCATGTCAAATAAGTGAAACATTTATTTTGAGATGTTTAAAATCCCAAATAACCAACTTATCAACAGGCGTTAGGAGACGATTCTCCAAATCATTTCTGGCTCCACACAGTGTTCTGCAACGTTTCCGGTTTTGTTCAGTGCACCATGAGCAGAGTAACCATCATATTCGCAATGTTTCTAGTCGTCCTCAGAGTAATGGCTATATACCAACCTAAAACGGTAATATATTATAAACACCTTCGCGATACTGCTAGTGCTAAGGGACCGGATAGAAAATAAGGGGCGGCGTTATTTTGACCCGCTGTTTTGACCCGCTTTCTAAATAATCCCTGCACAGTTCTAATAATCCCACCCCTTATTCACTTAACCCGGTTTGGTTAATTGTTGAGTGATATTCAGATATTTCGTTTTAATTTTGGTAAATTTTATTCGCTATCATCGGACTAAATTATATTAACCTTTTTACTGCCTAACCACTGCTTAAAAAAATACTGTATTAAAAATCGAGTAAAAAATTATCTGCTAAAATTGGGAAACAATTTCATATTAATGTTCGTTCAAAATTATGTCCGACCAATTAACGTCTGATAAGGTAATGCTCAAATCTTTGCACTTATGAACCCCCTCTGTATGATTGATATTATGTTTACTCTCGGCAAAACCAAGCCGATTATTTTATATTTTGATAAGTCCTCAATGTCATATCCACAGATTTCGGAGGAGAGATTTCTGAAGGCAACAATTTATGTGGTCTACGCTACATGGTTGTTTTGCCTATTAATGTCCTGTATTCCCTTTTTCAAAGGTCTGCCATTTCCTCACTTGTTTTTCCTGTTAATGTCCTGTATTCCCTTTTTCAAAGGTCTGCCATTTCCTCACTTTTATAGATAAGTGTGGTTGGTGGTATGAGGTATCTATGGGACCACTGACCATTGTGCTATGCTGACAAGTAAAGTAATGAATTATAAGTTAAGAATTTCTTTTTCTTTCATTAAGCTTGATTGATCATTCAACGTTCAGGTGTTGAGTACAAATACAACAGAAACTATGAAATGGGGTGGTGGAGTATTGACGAAGTATTCCAATTCAAGCAAGGAGTGTTCATAGGTAATTAAAGTCTGTCCATAGAATAATAAAGTGACTATATGGATCAAATATTTCCATCACATTCTTCAAAACTAAAACGGTCCAAAGATTGGTATTGGCCAATTACACTCACCAGTTCTGTCTTTCTTTTTATCAGACACTAATTTACTGCAGGTTATTTGATAGTGGATACAATACCATTCGTTGTCCCTGGAATAGTGGTTCTAATCGGAACTGTTCTTGTCATCGTGAGTACCCCCTCTTTACGTACCACTCTTTATAAAATGTACACTCTGTATACATCTATTAGGATTGGTTTCGGCCTGACGCCCAGCGTACTTTACGATAAGGGCAGTAGTTAGTGTCCAATTAGTTATTGCCAAGTACTGCCTCCGGGTAGTGTTCTTCAATTGATAAGAATTGTAAATGAATGGGGAAAGCGGGCGACCGATTTTATTCTCGGTACCATTTTGCATTTGAGAACGGTAATTCAAATTGATATCATTTCCTTTTGTTTAGGAAAGGGAAACACTGGCAACGGTCCACTCGACCCAATTATGGGTTTTGGTAAAATAACTCAACCGATCATTTAACAATAAAACGACACTATATGGCTAATTAAAAAAATGGAAAGTTAAACTGATGATTTAAGAAAATCTGAATCCGTTGCAATTTATTAATTGTTGATTAGAATGACCATATAATGATGTTATGAATGTTGGCAGCAGACTTTTAATAATTTTTAATGGGAAATATTCTTTCTAGGTCGGTTTGAGGAAAGTTCAAAACTCTTCAAATGAGAGCAAAGTAAGCATAGGAAGAAAGACCCATTCTCATTTCCAAGTAAACTAGCTTCACGTTTCCAAGTAAACTAGCTGATCATGTCTCATTCACATTTCCAAGTAAACTAGCTGATCATGTCTCATTCACATTTCCAAGTAAACTAGCTGATCGGTTCTTTTGCGATACTCAAAACGCGACAGCTAGCGCTGGAAAGCGACAACTAGCGCTATCCAGCGCTAGTTGTCGCAATCCAGCGCTAGTTGTCGCTATCCAGCGCTAGTTGTCGCGTTTTGACTATCGCAAAAGAACCAGCTGATCATGTCTCATTCACATTTCCAAGTAAACTAGCTGATCATGTTTCGGCTATATGATGTATGTATATGTTAGAGCTGGTATGAAATGTACAAAATGTTTGATTTATAACACAGAAGAATGTTTAATTTATTACAAAGAAGCCACATTAAAATTGTTCTTAATCAGTTTTTAAAAATTTTATTAATCGAACTTTGACAAGGCCACTCTGACAACGCTGATGGTAGCAGGCTTGTTCCTGGTATCCTATGGGATGTGGTGGATAACCTCTGTTTACACGCTCTGCAAACTGGTGGGTCTAATTTTTAGTGTTACCACGGTTTCTTATTTCTTGTGTTACCATGGTTTCTTATTTCTAGTGTTACCATGGTTTCTTATTTTTAGTGTTACCATGGTTTCTTATTTCTAGTGTTACCACGGTTTCTTATTTCTAGTGTTACCATGGTTTCTTATTTCTAGTGTTACCATGGTTTCTTATTTCTAGTGTTACCATGGTTTCTTATTTCCAGTGTTACCATGGTTTCTTATTTTTAGTGTTACCACGGTTTCTTATTTCTTGTGTTACCATGGTTTCTTATTTCTAGTGTTACCACGGTTTCTTATTTCTTGTGTTACCATGGTTTCTTATTTCTAGTGTTACCACGGTTTCTTATTTCTAGTGTTACCATGGTTTCTTATTTCTTGTGTTACCATGGTTTCTTATTTCTAGTGTTACCATGGTTTCTTATTTCTAGTGTTTTAATACTTTCAACACTACTATATAACAAATAATTTGAGGCATGTCTAAAAACTATGGCAACGGAAGTCAGCCGATGTCAGAGTAAAAGCCAGCCGAAGTCCCTGGTTGTGAAGGTGGCATGAAGGGTAGGCAGCGGCAGTTCTCCTAGCATCCCCCAGCTTGTCTGGGGTCCTAAACTTCTCAATCAGGCTAGTAATTGAACATATATTTCATTTTAGATCCACATTTTACCTTAAATAACTTTAGATTGTTATCATTGATTGATCTATTTCCTTCCTCTGATCTGATCTATATTGATACTTAATTTACCCCCCAGATAAGTTTTACTCCCCTCTGCCCGTCTCTATTTTCAGGCCGTTACATTCCATTTTACGGGGAATGTCTGGTGACTGCTGCCTAGTACCCCGATTGCCATCCTGATCACCTGGTGTAACTTTGTCCATTGATGCAAACTCTCCCAACCCCACTTCTACCTTCCTTCATCACTGATTTTCTTCTCAGTGCCTCCCAGGAGCAGAAAAATCACATTCTGTCCCTCATTAATGACGATGAAGAAGAATTTAAAGATGCCATCGATATCCTCCCAGAAGATCATCCGACACCTTTCACCTCATCTGAAGAGTCCTTTATTAATCCCTCAACTCCTGAGCCTAAGAAGTTTTCGGATCTTGTTAAACATGTCCAGCTTGACCTTCCAAAGCCCCTGGCTGATGGGGTATTGGATGAACTTAAAACAATGAAGATTCGCACAAGAGGAACGAGAGTAAAGACCTTGTGGCTGAGTCCCCGCATTGAGTCCTACAAGTATGGAAGGGTGGTCAACAAGCCCCAACCAATCAGTCAGTTCCCCAGGATTGTTGAATTGATGAACATTGTCAACGGCAATAAGGCCACCTCTGGGAATATGACTGCTTGTTTAGTCAGCTGTATGTCCTGCAAAGGAGCTAACCTGAACTACCATGACGACAACGAACCATTAATAGATCAGGACAGTGATATTTGTACGGTGTCGTTCGGTGCAGCAAGAGAACTGTACTTTATAAGGAACGACAACAACCTCTCACACAGGAAAGGTACCCCTCCTCCCCCAGAATTCTCTGTGCCTGCGACAGACCAGTCTCTCAATATTATGAAGGCTGGCTGTCAGTCCAGATTACTGCATAGAGTTCCTCCGGGCCTTGAGACTGGTGTCAGATACAGTCTTTCCTTTAGGAACCTAACTGACCCACTCAACACTCCTACATCTTCTCTTTCCTCTCCTTCTCCTCATCATCCTTCTACTCCTCATCATCCTTCTACTCCTCATCATCCTTCTACTCCTCATCATCCTTCTACTCCTCCTCAACATCTTCCTCCTAACACTGACCTCCATTCAGCCCCCCCTAAGAAGAAGATCATACTTCTCGCTGGAGATTCATATTTTGAGCGACTGGATATTGAAAAACTGGCCAAGGGTAAACAGACAGTTTTCAAAGTCGCCAAGGGTGGTCGCAAGATTGATGCTGTATTACACTCAATCGAGCAATTTGTGAGAGACCACCCTGATCTAGAGATTAAGAAACTGTTTGTGTGTGTAGGAACTAACGACATTCGATACTGTCAGACTGGCATATTACACCTTAAAAGCCCTCTGCAGAACTTTATGTCAAAAATTAAATCCTTAGCTCCTTCAGCAAAGATCTTTGTCCAGTCCCTCCTCCCTATACCTGCTAACGGTAACCCCAAGGGAGAACAAAACGTGGTCTCTATGAACAAACTACTCTTTAGTCTTTGTTCCAAATTTAAATTATTTTACCTCGATGTCTTTAGTAGTTTCCTTAGTTCATGGGGCGGCAGGAACTACCAGTTATTTCCTAAGTATAGTTTGGAATCCAAGAAGTGGGATATTCACCCCAATGCTAGGGGTATGGGTGTGTTAGCAAGACACTATATCTTTCTCATTCACTCAACATGGTTTAATCCGTTGGGTTACTGAGATTGGTATTTAAGTATGATTCATATTTGTTAGATAAATTATTTAGATGATGTATTAAAAAGTGAATTTTGAGTGATAGATACACCTGGGTAAAACACAACCGTGACATTGCTACACATGGGAATAAATGACCAGCAACACCGCATATGCACTGGAAAGTTTAATTCTGTTGTTCGAAAAGTTTGTGGTAAAAGAAAAGTCTGCTACGTGTCTGTGTTGTCCCAGTTATGTTCACCCATTGGATTATTTGTCAGTTCACTAATTTTATATCTGTATATTTTGTTATTTATTATTGTTATTTCGTTGGATCTATCAACACGTGTGGACAGTGGATTAAAGAATATTAGTCATATTGGTAGACCTGGTAATCTTCCCAGCCTTTATAGTAGTATTAACCTGTATTTCCTAATAATTATGACAGCATTTATTCTGAGATATTTTGATAAAGGATCTTATTATTTAAAGTGTCGTAAATCATCTGCTCTGAGAAGATCATTCCAATTCTTTCTGAGATGGATTGGTGTTCTTACTGCTCTGGTTATCTACACTTTCTCCCTGAACCTAATATTGCTTATTATATGTAACACGTCACTTTTAAATCCAGGACCTGGGAAAAAGCCTATATCTGTTTTTATAACAATGTACAAGGTCTAATTAACACTCGTGACCTTGCGTCAGTTAACCCACCACTTAACATGACGAAAGTACATGAACTACATGGTTTTTTGTATACAAACAAACCTGATATTGTTATTTTAAATGAGACTTGGCTGAAAAAGTCAATATTGGATAGTGAGATTTTACCTTCTGGTTATAAAATCTTTAGGTTGGACAGGTCCCTCAAAACTCATCCATGGGATCCTGAACGACCTAAGAGGTTTAGAAAAAACGGGGGTGGAGTCTTAATAGCTCATAGATTTGATCTAGATGTTACTAGTACTAGGATAGCTGTAGTGAAAGCTCAAGCTGAGTTATTGTCTGTTGTCTTGAAGCTTCCGACTGGCAGAAAGTTGTGTATTTCGACTTTTTATAGAGTGGGGACTCTAAGCGACGACAATTACGTGGAATTTTCTAATTATTTTAGAACTCTTGCCTTAAAAAAGAAGATTGACAAGCATGTTTTAATAGGAGATATGAATTTGAACTGTGTTTCTTGGCCTGCTGGTGAGACATCCTGTGAACTGCAAAATGGCTTCCTGGATTTCCTTACTGGTGACCTAGGACACACTCAACTAATTAATGAACCTACACATAAAGCAGGGAATGTGCTTGATTTACTGTTCACAAATGTCCCTAATATTATTACCAATTTAAAAATACTGGATCATAATGAGGCGTGCTTATCTGACCACTTTGGTATCAACTTTGGGATAAACTTCAATGTCAGCCGCAGAAAGTCTCCTAAACGCAAAGTATATAACTATACCAAAGCCAATTGGGACGGCTTGAACTTTGCTCTGAGGCGGGTCAATTGGGATAATGTGGCTGGGTCTCATGATCCACACATTTCCTGGCCTCTTTTCAAAGATGTTCTGATTAAACTCTGCAATGAATATATCCCAAAGAAAAATGTTAAGTGTGAGTTTCAGCCGCCTTGGTATGACTCTGATTGTGATAGGGTTCTGAGAGATAAAGAGAAATGGAGAGAAAAGGCTAATGAATCTGGCAATGAGTCTGATCTTGAAAAGTTCCGTCAGTACCGCAAAGATTTTAAACGCATAATGAACGAAAAGATGAGACTCAGTGTCGAAGATGATTCTGATTCTGCCCTTATTTCCAAAAAGTTTTGGACACACGTGAAATCAAAGTCTAAGTCGACTAGGATACCTGAAACGGTCCGATATGGTGATCGTTTTAGGAACACACCAGTTGAACAGGCTAGCTTATTCAATGAATACTTCTATCAACAATTCTCCTCAAGTAGCTCATATGACATTGACATCGACATGAGCTCCAGTAACAATTTCATGGATTTGAGATTTCACGTGTTGGATGTTTTGTTAATTTTAAAAGGGGTTAAACCGGGTAAAGCCGCAGGTCCAGATGGTATCCATGGCACTGTGTTAAAAAATTGTGCGAGCACTCTTGCAAAGCCTCTAACCATGATTTTCAACACCTCTTTTGTGACTGGATGTGTGCCGGAGGAATGGAAGCTTGCTTCTGTTGTTCCGGTACACAAGAAGGGTGAAAAAGGATCTGTTGAAAATTACAGACCCATCTCACTGACATGCTTAGTTATGAAAGTTTTTGAACGTTGTATTTCGAAAGAGTTGCTCGCAGCTTGTGAAGGGTTAATCGACTGTAGACAACACGGTTTTGTGAATGGGAAGTCTTGCACTACCCAGATGGTCCCATTCACAGACAACCTTGCACTGGCCCTGAACAATAAGTCAAGATCCGACATTGTTTATTTTGATTTTGCTAAGGCATTTGACAGTGTATCACATGACTTAATCCTTCGCAAGCTAAAAAATTTATATGGTATTGATGGTCTGATGCTTAGATTTTTAAAGTCGTATTTACAAGACAGACGACAGCAGGTTGTTGTAGGCGGAGCTGTCTCAAGCATGCTTCCCGTGCAATCAGGAGTGCCCCAGGGATCTATTCTGGGACCACTTCTGTTTGTTCTATTCATCAACGACATGTTCTCGTGTGTTTCGGAGGATACAAATGTAGCATTGTATGCAGATGACACCAAAATTTGGAGGGTCATCGAATGCTTTGAAGACCACTATATTCTCCAAGGAGATATAGACAGGTTGTTTGCCTGGTCAATCGATAACAAAATGACTTTTCACCCTTCAAAGTGTAAGGTGTTATCTGTAACTCTGCAAAGAAATGTATTAGACAATCTTCCTTTTAATATTTATTGGTATAATCTTAATGAAGTCATAATTGATTATGTGGCATCCCATACAGATCTTGGTGTAATAATGAACAACAGATTTCTGTGGGGTGCACATTGTGATCAATTGATATCTAAAGCAAGCTCAAAGCTTGGGCTCTTAAAGAGAACCTGTCATTTTACCATGGATAAACGCCAAAAGAGGGCTTTCTACCTTA